ACAATAATAACGCCGCCGTCGACCGTTACACGATTTTCGCGGACGCGTCCGCCGACGCCTCGTAAATATCGGGCACGCGCAACGGGTCGCGTATCTCGGCGCGGTCGAATATCTAAAACACGGTACGGGTGTTTCGTCAGGATAGGACCGACGGCGGCGGCGGCGGAGAAACGCGCGGCCCGACGGCTATGACAAATTCTGTTTGTACAGGGCGCGGATTCGGATTCGAAAAAAAAAAAAAAACAATCAAACCCCGGGGCGCGGCAGTGTGCTGGCGTTCGGTCAGCGCCCGAGAATTTCCGCAATAAACCGCAATAACGTTCGACACTTCTTTTACCCGGCCCGCAGGCACGGATCCGGAGCAAATATCTATGTTAGGCGGGGGCGGAGGGGGGGAGGGGTAACAATTAACTCAAATATAACCACTGCAATGTCTACGGCGCTAATTATTACAGAGCCACGACATGGTTTAACGGACCGCGCAATTCATTCGCAGCGATTGTCCGGGACCGACTTTGGTGCCGACGTCACGCACTCTCGCGGTGTCAACAGTTACAACGTAATTACGTGTCAATTAATCCGAAGAATCTAATTTTTTGTATGTTCTATAAATCGAGCTTTTCCTCGCAACATTTTCAGATTAAATTTCAAAATACACGAGTACATACATAGTATTTACCATACTTGCAAGCCGACGAACGAGATATGACCTCAAACATCCATTCCCTAGCGCGAGCCCTTGACCAATGAAGAATTACTCCCTACCCCATCGTTATTTTGTATTATTTATGGAAATATTACTAGTAAAACATATACAATATACAAGTATAATACAATATACTATACTTTATATGATAGTCTAAACTATTATCATTGTAAAGACCAATAGTGAACGGTTTATACGTTCATATGGATTTGATCCATCGCGTTATATGCAAAACAATGACTTATTGGGTATTTGGTCCTTAGAGATAACAGGGCAAGAACTGTGGAATAACCAAAAGTAATGAGAAATTATGTTAAAAGAAACCGTCTACTTAGTTGAAACAATGAAAAGCGGGTATATAAAAACTGGGCGAATTATGTGTACAGTCAGCATGTGATGGCACTAGACGCAAACAATCCGCTTTACCAAATCGGATTACAAATAGAAGTGAAAAACGATATAGAGATTACTGCAAGAGATTGACAGACTCTATGGTTTTTGCCAACTTTTTAATAGTGTTATTTAAAATAAAATAAAAATCAAAGTGTAGAATATTAAATTTTAATTTCAAATTGTTGTAAACAAGTCCCTGTAGTCTATGAGTCGGACAGTAGATTAGTGAAAAAGGACTTATCGCGAGGACGGGGATAGATCCCAATGTTAAATATAATCTAACCAAACACCACTATGCATACATTTTCAAATAACACGTAATATTGCTACGTTTTGCCCATGTTAATGCGAATAAATGCGCGGATGTCCTCCCAAGGTAGATCGTAAGTGGTTTTCCGGATTTTCTTCGATTTTTTAAAATTCAAAAACCATTGTTTAGTTTTTAACCACCCAAATTAATGATGCAATTTTTCCATTTATCTATTGCTCGATACCCATTTTAGGGGTATGGCGTCCGTGTTTACGGCGTATTATATCAATAAGCTGGAGCGCAGCCGGACCGATTTTAATTTTGAAAATATATTTTGTTTCGATTTCTTAGCTACGGTGCGGCACAGAGAAAAAAAAAACCATACAGAACCAATGGATTTCTCGCTGCGTTCTCGAATCTAAAGGAATTGCACAAGACGTGAAATGATTTTCAAGACAGATATTCGGCAATAATTGGAAGCGAATTTATTACTCCGGTTTATCGGTAAACCCATATTTGTAAGAAGGAACTAATCGCTTACAATCATTGGCAACGAATTTACTGTTTGGACTTTTCAAACTATCGTCGGAGCCCCGTTCTCCCCAACCCCGTTTTATCCGCGGCGTGCACCTCCGGCCACTCCCCAACTACACCGGTTGTATCACTGGGATACATTACCGCGCCCTCGTCGATAAAAATGTACACATTATCTGGCGGTGTTATATTGTGGTCGATCGTCTTGCCGGTCGATATTTCTATTTTTTTTTTTTTTATTTATTTATTATGAGCACGACCTGTTCGGCGCGGATATTAATATAACAATATTATTATATAGGTATTATATTATTATACTGCCCATAGGGTTTGGAGATCTGGTCTTTCGACACACTGCACCGTATTAACCCGTTGACCTAATAATGTTGCGCGGGTACGGATTTCGTCAACTCTTTTGTGCGCGTGTATGTCCGGGTTTTTATTAATTTTTTTTTTTTTTTTTATTACGAGCGACGATGACGACGACGACGACGACGCGGTCTTCAATCCGGCGGAGGCACGAAAAAAAAAAAAATCGTTCAACACCCGCTGTACCTACTATATTTATGCACGTATATATATTACATATTATTATCATAATATATTACATTGATCTTACGACACGACCGATTCGCGTACACGTCGGAATTCGACATCCGAACCCGCTGCACTGCGTACAGCCATTATATTATAGCGACCTAGCTAGTACCTACTATACCTATTATACTACCGGCTGCATGTCCGTACATAATAATGTGACGTTTGGAAAAAAGAGGGAAAAAAAACAATTATTATATTATACACACGAGAGCGCAATAAGTTTACGCTCATTTACCTCGTCCGACAAATATATACGCGCGCGGTCGTTCGGTTCTATTTGCTCTTGTCCGTACGTATGTATCACCTTGTACCCTTTTTGCGATTTTTTTTTTTTTACTCGTTCCTCGTCAGCAGTGGACAATCCCGAGTACATGAAATAACGTTACAATCGATTTAATGCCAGAAACACAATCATATTATGTATTATAGGCACGCGAATATAAACGTGCATATCGTGTAGGTACCTGCCTTATAATATATTATTATTTCGTTACCTTCGTTACATATACATTTATAACGTTATTGCTGTTAAAAAATAATAATAAAATAAAAATTATTGTACAGACGTTACAAGGTCGAGGATATTATTACCTACACGAGCGATATTTTATCATATTGATGATCGGTGGCGTGATTGCGATGAGAGGGGAGGATAGTTCGCACCCCGGAGCTTTATTTTTATATAAATAATTAGCTTATACATAGTCCTTTTCGACTAAACGACGAGAGAATGGACGAGAGGAATGACGAGGAACAATATTAAAAAATCGACAGTATTAAAGACAAAATACAGTAGAAATACCGAAGAAAAAATCGAAATATCCTGGAAATGCATGGCTTAAGATTGACACGTCGAATCGCTAGGTGCCTACAAAAGACTATCACTGGTTCACCGTGGAATCCCTTTAGGGCGACCGACATTGAAGTGTGAAGATGTTATTTAAAAACACTATGAACATATAAAAATATCAAAATATTCCTTCTCTTTTAAAATATATTATCTTAATTTCATACTTGTTATTTTTACATTATAATATTGTTTGATAGAACTAAAGCTGTGTGTGTGTGTGTGCGTGAAATTCCACTTTTATGAAATACCGGGAAGAGAAACAAATTTCAATATTACTAAATTGAATGTGTACTGCAGACGAGATGTAAAATACTGATTGAAGAACGGCTGTGATGAACATAATGCCGTGGAGAAGATTAAGTTAGTATGGAAAATCGAATGATTTACCTGATAAAAAATTGAAATTATATTTAAAAAGCAATGTTTCGGAAAACAATATTGGGAATTTCGAAAATATTTTCAAACAAGTCTAGATCTTTTAACATAAAAAATTTAAAAAATCAAAGAATTTTTACTGACCGTAAAAGATTGGTTCGAAAAAAAGAAACCCCACATCTTATAGTAAAATTATTATTGTACCTAGCATCTTTGTTATACCCCCCCCCAATCTAAAATATATTACATTCATTAAAATATTAATATGATTTATTTCTTTTGCTTCAGTTGACGGAAAATCTTGTAGTGGACCAGTGGTGTCATTTGAATATTCACTAGGGCAGGGCCTAATAATGACCGGCCCAATAAGTACCTATACATACGCCGACTTGTATGTACACAGAAATAATTATTAGGCATAAGAATAAATTACAGCTGCTATCGCGGTCCAGTATAGAAATTACTGTACGACATTTTTCGCGTATATAAGTGTTAACATGTAGTTTTTTCAATAATTTTCCGTAAACGTTGCGTAGGTGTTTATTTAAAAACGGAATGTTCCGAGAAAAAAAAAAATGTTTGATTGGACCGATTTTCTCTTTTGACGACCCTGGGGCCCGGGCTGTACAAAGCCGCGTGCACGGGCAACTATCCTGCACCTTAATCCGGCTCCGAGATTACGATCTCGCCGTCCGTATGTGTAACGCGAATATTTGGCAAACCGATCTTATTGCAGCCGGTTCGTCTGAGTTAATACCCGCCAGACTTTGGTATACTTGTAATATAGTCGCCTCTCTCGGTACACACGCACACGCGGCGTACGATTATTTTATTACAATATTCAGTAATGTACACGTTGACCGGCGGTATATAATTATCGGTACCTACCTACCTACCTACCTACCTACCTACCTACCTATAATAATATTATTACACACTACTGCCGCGGCGTGATGGCGTTAGAACAAATGACCGTTATAATAAACGGAGTTTCGCCCGGGGCGGTAAAAATATGGTTCGTGACGAGCGAGATTTTCGAATTTTTAGACCCGCGGAGTTCTCTTACAAATAATAATAATGATAATAACCGGTTTAAAACGGGGAATATGCCCACACTGATAAATATCGAAAACAAACGCGGCGGCGGATCATAACAAAACACAAAAATATTATACTTATACGTGTATATTACGTTTGAAAACGCAAAACTCTTATATTCCGATAGAAAAAAAAAAAAAAAAAAAAACGTCTATTGATAATAATAATAAATTGACGTAATTAATACGTAAATAATTAATAATCGAGAAGTACCTATGCGATGGCTGTAGCGAGCGTTTAAATCGCCGAGAGAACTCATTACTGGTGCAGAATAATATACCATAAAAAAAAAAAAAAAAAAGTAACATAAAATATTGTATTGTGTTGTTTATTAGTGTGTCGTTTGCAACACGGCATAATAAAATGTATTATTATTTTATGATTTTATTAATTGTTTCGTTCCATTTTTATTTATTTTGTCGTCCCCGAAAGTATTTATGACGTATTATGAACCCGCCCACCTTGTTTGGTCGAAAACTCGTAAATTCGGATACAGAAACGTCTTAGACCCGCATTTCGTTTACGCGGTAATCGGTATAATATACAGCAGTATAACTTAATATGTATAGTGAAACCTCTAAATAGGTACCGGATAGTTTCGGTCGCTGAAATTTTGCCCGCTTTTCGGAGCTGTCCACTATTTAGAGGGAAAAATTGTATTTTTATTAAATTTATTTTATTTTTATATTAATTAAATACATCTTAAAGTTTCGACATTTCATCGATGCGAAAATATTTCAATGACTGGACGGATATTATGAGATATACATGTCCAGTATAATTATCTAAAATATTATTCTTAATTTACGATAAAAATTATCAATATCAATGCTGAAACGTGTCCACTATTTAGAGGTTTTCCTACATATAAATAGGTAGTGAAAATGTCCCGGTTCCCGAAAAAACGTCCGCTATTTAGAGGTGTCCGTTAAAGGAGGTTTCACTGTATACGCATAATCAGAGCCTACATAGTCGCTTTGCTCAAACAGTGAGAGCTCTCGTTCGTTATCAATTTAAATGTCCTAAAAACTATCGTAAAATACAAATAAAAAATAACATTTTGTTATAACGTATTAATACACCAATAGAATCATACCATATTCCCAATAAATAAAACAGTTGACAATTATTAGTACCTATGAACGAAAAATAGGTACCTAAAAACCATTAAATATTATTGAATTGAAATTGATCGACGTAACTCTTTTTTTTATAACTGCCCGATTTGTATTAAAAATTTATCTACAGAGTACGTATCAGATAAAAATTACGTAAAAAACTATCAAAATTAAAATACTAATAGCTCAAAAATAACTCAAATGTTTTGAAAATATTATCACGTCTAGAAATAATAAGTATACATTTTCTGTTAAAAATTAAAGTCTCTAAGAATTGTTTTAATCGAATCATAACAAAAACAAAATTTAAAAAAATAAAAGCATTATTTTCGTAAAATTTTCCGTTATTTCTACGTTTTTTAAACTCTGAATGCATTGGTTTTACAACGATATTTATTATTATTTTTTTTATGTTAACACTTTTTCTACCAGAAAACATACTCCGATTATCAAGTACAGCACTTTTTCTGAAAGAAAATTTCTTCCGGGTGATACTTTAAAGAGATCATTTTTTGAAATTTTCATTAATATTCGAGATAACGAGAAAAACCTCGATCTTTAGGTTAAAAAAGATTGAAAGAGTTAGATAAGGTTGTTATTGGCAACCATTTTTATTTATTTATTGTTATTGTTAAGTTTTTATTATTTTAATCTTTTTTAAACTATCTTTGTTGTCATAGAAACGCATATTGTTGTAACAATTTTACCATAATATGACATATATATATTGTTGACAACGCAAAACTATCAACTGAACTCCGCTCAGAATCCTTATATTTATTAACTGTGGCACGGGTACTTCTAATGTTAGCGTTTTTTTACGATACGATACGATTTTTTTTTTATCTCATATCGGTGCTCACGTCTTCCACCGCTCCGTGCAAAGTTTTTTCCTTGGTACCACCGTCCCGTATAAGGGAGTGGAGCGGACCTGAGTTTTATTTAAATTAACGAGGTCTCGGGGACCCGGCCTTGGTGCGTGATAACTATGGATCAAGGTCGCCTTTGTAAATGCTGACACGATGTACAAAGCGTAGTCGATATGATATTATATTACAATAATTCTTACAACTTCAATGCGACCGTGGAGGGCAGAGAGGTCCTTGAATGTTCCCTACGGTGGCCTATGATTGTCGTCCCTCACACGTTGCGATGTTCTTCCTGGAGCATACACTCGTACCCGGTGACATTTTTGACATTTTATATTATGTGCATATATTTATCGGTTTACCGGTTTACGATATGCTTTGACTTGACGTTCGACCACAAATCCGCAATCATAAATAATACCTATAGCAGTTAAACCTAGCGCTCATGTTCTCCGTCATCTTTGACAGCTGCTAACAATTATAATTCGTCATCGTCCGAACTTGAATTATAATATATAATAATATATCCACGGTGTGGTATTATTAAAGTTAGAAAAAAAAAAAAAGGACAGACATACTTCGCACCTGGGTGCAGTCACTGTTGTAGGTTGGGAATTCGGAATATAGGATACAGATGGGAATTAAATATGTATATCTGTAAGTAACGATTGCCGTTTGGGTTCGAACGGCCCTTCGTGGCGTATTTCGGTGTATTGCGCAAAACGCCGCGCCCCCGACGGAAGATTTGCGACACCGTAACCGAACGGCGACGGCCGCGTACGTTCCAAACGTCGCCGGGATATTATCAATCGAAAATAGCGTTCGGCGCGGAATCCGTTTTCTGTTTGCGGTCCGTCGTGTACGCGCGTATATTATTGTAATTTACTCACGCGATACAATCGTAGCTCGCGCGTATTATACGGGTATTGTAACGCCCGGGCGGTAAGCGCGAGCGTAATATAACGGTGGTAGTGGGGGGGGAGGTAGGAGGCGATATCGGACCCGTCGGCGACCCATCTCCGAGGAAATCGTGCCGGCCGTTCGTAATGATAGCGTTAATAACGCGCGGCGGCCTCTATCTAATCTCCGGTAAGATTCTGAAAGGTGGACGGGGCGGTCGGAGCCTTTTTTCTTTTTTTTTTTTCGGTCGGTTTCGAATGCAATCTCCGATCGCGATCGTCGATAACGTTTCCGCCGCCGCCGTGCACAAAAGCCGCGGCGGCGCGTGGTATTATTCAATTGAAAAAAACGATTGATTGCTCGCGCGATCTCGAAATGCCGACGATGATCTCTGTACGCGCGGGTATTCTTTATTATACTCGACCGTCGGCGTTCCGGAATATTGTAAATAATCCGTCGCGACAACTGATACGAAAGCGGCGCGCGTGACGGGAAAATACCGAAGTAAAATGACCGCTATACCCGACTATATACTCACCGACATTCAATAGACCGGGATAGTTTTGTTCTTATCGTCGTCGCCGTACCGGTCGTCGTATATTATTGTACGCGGAAACCGAAAACAAACACACGACTGTAACGTATGTAATATGGGCGCATAGTACGAGAACTTCCGCGGTATAATCCTCGGTTTGTATTATTTCCAGCGGCGTGTAAGATAAATTCCGATGGGGCATAATGTGAACGATCGTTATAATATCTTTGGTCCCGGCGAAGAAGTAAGTCGACTTTGTATGGTTCCCGACCAGCGCCTGAATCGGGAGAATTAAAGTCGAAAAGCTCTGCTGAGCTAGAAAAAAAAATAAGCGTCATTTAGGGTCGCGGGGTGCCGTTAAGTAAAAAAGAAAGAAAAACTGTCGCCGCGCCCAGTTCCATTTATAAGACGATAAATATTTAGAACAGCGCCTAACCGTTATAAACGTTACGACCGCGGCCATTTCCTTTAACACTTCACGAATTTCGACGCTCGTTATCTTGATGAACAGTAAACACTAATAAGTGAATTCGCCGCTGCGTCAGTCACTCGTTGCGAATGCGCGCGCGGTTCTCTCGCGGTGTCGCGCCCGGGCGGCCGCGGCGGACCGAACGATTCCGCGTGCGGCCTGCGCACGGGCTACCGGAATTCGTGTCGGACCGAAAAGACCGGCGCCGGTCCGCGGGCCGCCCGAGAACATTAATACGCTAATCATCGTACAATATGGGTGTACGATTTTTAATTTTTTTAATTTTTTTTTTTTTTTTCTACACCCCATCGCCTTCGTCGTTCACACGCCGTACGCGTCTGGACGGACATTTTGTTAAACGGGACCGGCCGTACGGGATTCCATTCGCCACGCGCCGATACCGTCGTACACGTTGCACGTTCGCAGTGGCGCGCACAAACGGCCTAATCGTTTTAAATACGTTTACAGTTATCGGCGTTGACGGTTTGACCCGATCGAAACGACGGCGGTTCAACCCCGGGTGCGAGCGTGCGCCTGTAAACGATTCGAGTTCCGGAGGCCGCGCGATCCGAAGTCGGCCGTTAAACTCCGGAAAGCATTACCGTGCCCGCGTGATGATAATACACCCGTCCGGGATGCGGGCGAACGACTGTGCGTTTTCACCAACGATACGCACGCACGCGTCGCCGGTTCGTTTTATTTCCCACCCGGCGTTTTCGCCTCGACTCGCGCAAACCGCACGAACGGGGCAATCGTTCCCGTTTCGGAAACTCAACGCGCTCCGATCCAGAAAACCCGAAACTGCGAAATCTGGCAGAGTTCTCGCCGAAGTTTAAGATTTTAATACCGGTGCCGACTCCGATAACATTTGTTACGTCGTATATTAGAATTGTACTGCACACTGGCAAGTTGTCGTGTCGTTTAGCATACGCCTGTCGTAGTCACTGTACGGCCAATTGGCAAACGTTCGGTTTCACTACACGAAACGCGCGTTTGATTTTTGTTTTCTCCTTTTTTTTTATTTTTCGGATAGTAAAAATGCGCCGATTTTTTTTTCCACGCAGCACCTACCGCCCACTCTAAGGAATGCAGATTATTTGCCCGGTGATTTGAACGGTTTTTCTATAGATTCCGCAACCTTTTTTTTCAAAAACGTTTTAAAGAACCGAACGAGAGTATCCCAACGTACCGTCATGTCTGTTGTTTTTTTTTTTTTTTTATATTCCCCGGCTTACCTTGAGCGCGGTTATATAATCTTACCGGCCAACCTCCGAATCGTTACTATAAACTGTTTACCCCTTACACTGTACCGCTACAACGACCGACCTATGCGTGTTGCGAAACACGGTGACGTTTTTAAGTTTGAGTGAGACGAGCATAAGTACAATCGATTTTTTATATTATACTCGTTTTTGGTAAGCGCCTCGTTGTTGTTGTGCTTCACGGATTTTATGAGTTTAAAAAAAATGTATTTTCTAAAACATTATGATTTTTTTTTTCGTTAAGGGCATTGGACATTTGCAGATTTTACTATGATGTGTGCTTTGATTTTTTTTTTCTTGCGCGTGTACTCGTTTTCAACCAAAAATCTTGATCCAATAAAAATAATTAACAAAATTTTAGATTTACGCACATGATCTATCGATGGTACACGTAAAAAAGTTCGGTTTTTTTTGATTTTCCTTGAAGTTTTCTTAAAAATTGAGAACAAATGAGAATAGTTTACGACTTAAACGGTTTCTCTTTTCGGTTTTATTTTTATAATGACGTACGGCAGTGCGTACGTACGTATGGTGGTCCTTGTACCGCGGTCTGCATTTCAATACGCCGTTTACGCTGAACGTTTTTAACAGATCGCCGGCGCGGGTAAGCGTAATTGCATGTGTGCCGCGCAATAATAATATCGTATCCGTAAAAAAAAAAAAAAATAATAATAATAATAATAATAATAATTTTATATTAGAACCACCGCACAGCCGTGGGTATTCGTTTTATAACGAGCGCGGTCTACAGCAGCCAATGCACCGGCTATCCGCAGCAGTAACGTTGTAACGAAGCGTGTCTGAAAAGTGTATAAAATATCGTTACGAGTCCGAATTCGTCCGTTGATATTTGCATAAAAATCCAATACCACCGCGATGTTTTAACGTAGATTTTATAATTCACATTGCGGCGACTTTCACCGGCGGCGGGGCGAAATAATAACGACTCGGTAACCGTTGCGTCGTTGCAGCTGCGCCGCGGCGAAACGAAAAACAAAACAATTTCCAAACGTATTTTTCCGCTTTGACGCGCTACGCAACGCGCGCGGTGTTCCGTCGGTGTACTCTGTGACGATCGCGTTTTCCGCGGTAGCGAGGTATCCGCGTGTGGCGTACCGGCGGCGTTTCGGGAGGTGTACGGCTTATACCCGCGGTTCCTTTTCGTCCGGATTTACGCGCGTGTACCGAAAATCGTACGTGACGGGCGCGCGTTAATATCGGAAACCCGTGCACGCTGTGCACGGTTCGCGGATGTTTTCGCGCTTGAAACAACCGCGATGTGTACGCGAAAAAAAATTACCAAACGTGCAATTGAGACGTACGCTAAAAGTGATGAAATATACATTTTTAGTTGAAAGAAAAAAAAAAAAACCACCGAAATGTGCGCGAGACAATGTATTTTACCATAATAGTATTGAATTTTTTTTTTTTTTAGTAGTCGATTTTATCCGATTTTACATATTAGTTTACAATAACATAAGCGTTACGGTACGGGTTTTTTAAATTTGATGGCTTTTTCGCTTTATATTTCGTTATTAATTTAAATTGTTTTTAAAAATTTCGAAAACAAACTGAAATATGCATTTTTATGTTTTTTTAAAATCCTAACATATGTATTCAAAATACAAAACCATAATATATGTAAAAATACGCAAAAATAGTATTATTTGATTCAGTAGAACACGAATCAAATTTGTATCCAGGACAGCATTGAATTGGATAAATAAAAAAAAAAAAATTATGCATTTTCATAAATATCCGGGACCCTAATCATAAGTACACACAAACTTTTAATTTATTATTGTTAATGATTTTTGGGCTAGAAACGGTTTTGGTCCAGCCAAACGATGCTATTGTAGGGTAGCGGAATACGTGTCGCGTTAGTGCCAATGATCAATGTAACTTTCAACGTTCAACCCTTACCCCCGTCATTTTTATGCGCAACATTTCTACAGTTTTTCGGAAACAGCTCACCTGGTTTAAGTATACATACCGTAATATTTATAAACAGGTGGAAAATGTGATTTATAGTATTACTATAGCGTGCCATAGTATTATATATATATATAATAGTGTTGCCTGATATACATTGGTTTGTTTTTTTTTTTTTCATTAACAAATGAGAGCAAGTAGAACAAAAAATAGAATTTGAATGAATGTCGATTTTCGAAATTCGCGCACATTGGACGTGTAAAATATCGCGAATTGGCACGCAGGAACCTATACTATAGCCGTGTATGTCATCGTAGTATCGTTATAATATTAGCCGCCGTCATTAACGAAGTTGGTGACGATAAAAACGAGTTTGGTTTGCACGCGGCTTCAAACACGCCGCCGCCGATGAAACTTTACACTAATCTTACAGACGGCCCGACGACGACGACGACGACGGCCGCGCCATAAAAAATAAAATCATAATATTCCAAGTAATCGGTATTATTTCTGTACTTATATTCGTGTACGCCAGAAACATAAAAGTCCGTTTCGTCCGGCTACCGTCCACGTATACAGGATGAATATGTTGTCTTGAACCGGCAGTACGTAATATTTCGGATCCCCCCACCCCCTCGGCATTGTAGGGAAATCGTTTAAATGATCTTGTTTACGATATTTTCCTCGTATTCCAGTACTAGCCGATTAGTATTTTTCTAGTTTATTCCTTTCAAAAACAGATAAACAATAAAAAATATTCAATTCAATTGTTTCTGACCCCGTTTCTACCCATGTTCCCGGCATAGTTAATTGTTGTTTGCCCGGTATAGATTATAGATTATCTATAGATATGCAATGTATTTTTTTAAAAGTGATAATAAGTATTTCCTTGACGTGTGTGACAATTGAATTTAAAAACCATGACTGTTTGTCGTTTTTTTTTCAATCCAAAACGTAGCCCGTAAATCAACGAAAAATTGTTAGTTTCCGAAAATACCGAAAACCCCTGTTATCAGCCAGAGTTAGGATGTTTAGGATTACGGGGTCAGTACAAAAATCAGATTGATCTCGTTTCGAATGTCTAATGTGCAGAGTTTCATTAATATCGAAACTGTAACTGATTGGTATGGTGGACAGACAGACAGAATTTCAATTGTTATATTATATACGTAAGTTACTGTAATATACCTGCGCACGTCAGTTTTCGTTTTTCAAATATAGAGCGACCGATAATCACTCGTCGGATTCGAAAACAGAATGTTTTTCTAAAACAATTGGATCGAACAATATTAAACCGAAACAATCGACTCTTATGCGTGAAAAAAATAAACGTTCCAACAATCGGACGACATTTTTATTATCAATACGTACCGATTGTAAAACACATCGCACCGTAACACGATAGAAGTTCGGAACGATTGTTTTACTGTACTCGCGTCTCGGAAACCAACTCCATCGCGCAATTCGTGTCCGCCACGCGACCGGGCCCGGAATAAGGGCGACGGGGCAGGGGGGTTCACGCGCCCGGGGCCCGCGAGAAATATAGGCACACGAAGATCGTATTATTTGTGCCGGCATTATGCTCTACAATATTGTTTGTTTTTAACGGCCTCGTATTGCGAGTCGAATCAAATGTCCGAGAACTTTTCTCCGTTATCGTTTTTCTGCGTGTCGGTCGGATTTAAACAAACTACGCGGCGACCATTCACTCGACTACTCGATCCGGGCCTGCACGCGGCCGGCAACCGTACTACAGGCAATCGTTTGTACGCACGCGCGACGAAAGAAAAAAAAAATCACCCTGTATAACGCAAAGCGGGTGTGTTGTACTGTCGTCGCGAACCCCGTCGCCGTCACCGGACACAATGTACACAGGGGACAATAATAATAATAATAATAATAATAAGTTATTATTATAATAACGATAATGGCGCAACGGGTTACACGCGTTTCTGTCAGACGGACGGACGGACGGACGGACGGACCGCGGACAGGACTTCGCTTACAATTTAATTGAGTGATAACAATCTGGGCCGTCGATCTCCCGCGCGGCCGGGTTCGCAACACGACAATAATATTATAATGAGATCGCGACATACGCATTGTCGTGCGGTCGGATCGATAGCCGCGACAGTCGCTCCGGTAATAATAATAATAATAATAATGATAACAATATCGATAATAATGTGCACGGGCGACAACGATAACGCAATAACAAAGTATAACGATAATTACGGACCCGACCACTGTCGCGAATTTATTTTACAGACTCGCCGTAGCGCGTAGCTCCGTTCACTCGTTCTTTTGTCGGTTTTGTTTACGCCGTACAAACGTGTCGTACGTTTTTCGACAACGTTTATCCTGTCGTCGCGTACTTGTCGATAACACAAAACGCATTACGCGAACAGGGCCAAACGCAAACGGGGGCGCGTGTTCGAAATTTACGACATTTTCGAGAAACGTAAACGTTATTTAATATTAACGAAAGAATTGAACGTCGACAACGAATGTTATAGTTTTAGGCATCGTCTATACGTTTTGAAATGTTAGCCGATGCTTGGGAGGTATCGACTCTTATCGATACCTACCCCGAAAAACAAATCCTCATTGGCGTAGCGATAGGATGGCATGACGGGCCCGTGACATTTAGGGGCCTCAAATCAGGACACAAGGAATTACCGGACAAATTAACGCCTTTTTCGAATAGCCCTTTTTTTTTTTTTTTATCGGCCTTTGTACAATATTTTTCCACGGGCATTAGAAGTTCTAGATACGCCACTGTAAATCGTAGATTCCTAAAAATAAGCGCAATACACATTATATGTTTGTGTTATACCTGCATTTGTGGTCTACGTAGGGGTTTCCGAAACTAAACAAAACCTGTGAAACCCGCATTCAATGTCTCAGTATACCAGACGTCAGTTAGAAAACATTAACAAACGAATCGTGGCGTTTAGGTCGAAACTATTGAAATTTGAACGCAAATAATAAAATTTAAAGCCGAGAACATTTTCTAGGGCTTTATATGCAGCGTTTTCTCACAAAACAGAAGTCACAGTAACTTTTTTTTTTTTTTTTTAAATAACTACATCAACTTTTTGTATGATTGATGTTTAGAAAAATGCGCCTTTATATACCAGTGCTCGAAAATATTCCCACCTAAAAATTTCGCTATTTGAACAAACTACAATTTCAACCGAAGCGCCACAATATCTATCGATTTCACTATGTTACCCGTAAGTGTAGGCAGTTACAGACTAAGACAGTGTCTACCCACATACCTATCCCTTTAAGAGGATAACGTGGCACCGCGCAGAACATATTGTACTTACGACTCGTTGGGATATTTAAATAAAACGGAAAAACGACGGCGCGTTCGCGCCGTTTATCTCTGTGTCAACTCACGGTAATGCATTGTTGTTTAAACAAACGGCGCAGAGTATTGTTCCTGTTTGAAGAGAACCCGAGCGATTCGCCGACACCGGTTTCGCGTGCGTTGTACGCGAAACGTCAATGCGAAAACGATTTTCTTATCGTTTCGGGACGGTTACCGCGGCTGTCGTCGCCGCGTCCGTTTGCGGTCGAACGCGCGGGCGTGTGACGTCCTCTTAACGAAACGAAACACTGCGACTGGTTCTTAGAAAAAATAAAAAAAAAAAAATTTATATTTATTTAACAACACGGTTTAATAACCGTTTATATCCGTTTATATNNGGGGGGGGGGGGGGGACGGGGACGTTCGTATTCGTAATATTGTATCGAAATATCCGGCGTGCGGATTCATTTAAACCGCGCGTACACATTACGCACTGCGGGCGCACGCTATAACGACACGTACCGTCCGGTACACGCGGCGACGGCAATAACGACGCGCGCGATAAGACCACGGTACGTGCGATCGTGCGATTTTAGTGTCGGATGAATATTTTATTATATTATATTGCCGCGCCGTCAAGCAGGGGGCACTGCACAATAATAACGACGACGCACGCGAACGCACATATGGGTACGCGGCAATCGTTAATCGGATCGATTCACGAGATTTTCTCATTAACCGTTTAATTAATTTCAGACACGGCGAATACGTTATGATAATTATTCTGGTCGTCGGCCGGCCGTCTCCGTACTCGTATAATGTTATATTTTATACGGGCGGGTACATCGCTGTTGTATAATATTACGATGATAATAATAATATCTGTTAATAACTAAACTATATTTTATGTACGACCGGAGTACTTGTATATTATTATTACTATGCACGCGTGTACGACACGAGAGCAACATTATATACAAAAAAAAAAAAAAAGACGGAAAAAAAAAAAAAAAAAACGGTATCGAAATACCTACATACGAGAATCGGCCGTTAATTATATACACCTTTTTTTTTTTTTTTATTAAAATTATATTCGCCGGGTCGTCCGCGCGAAACGCAACGTTCTACGGCCGTGCGCCGATACGGACATTGGCAACAATGTGCGCTTTTCTAACACTTGCGGCGCCCGAGTACGATCCGCGGGACGTCGGGTCATTTATACAAGAAAAAAACAAACAGACCGCGGCTCAAACCGTTTCGGTTCGAAACGCGCGCCCGCTCGCCGACCGACAGTATTGACATTACCCCGTGAACGCGTATCGTAACGGGACGGGCGTCGCAATCCAATCAGTTCGGTCGATTGCCGGCCGTTACTGTCGGACTGTACACTTAACCCGCCCGGAGCCAGCGCCCGCCCCGCCCGGTTCGGGCGGTTCGACGTTCGTGCCGCCCGTAGTGCGCACCCGGCGCCGTCGTCGAACGTTACCGACGGCGGCGGCCCGCGACGCTTAATATTCGCGCGCGACTTTCGATGTTGACGTTTTTTGATCGCCGTCAACCCGCCGACGAGACATTCCGACCTCTTGGGTTCCGGTGCGACGCGAGAGGAGTCGCGTGATCGAACGCCCCGCGCGCGCACGCCGCCACACGCTTCCCTTGCCCGAACTTTGAATGTCCCGTTAACACGGATATTTTGTTTTCTGAACGCAACGAGAAATGTATCGGTTATGATTACTGTGACGCGAGCGGTTTGTTTTTTTTTTTTTTTCCCCCATTCTGTTAACAACTTGTCTACCAGAAATGTCGCTCCGTTAATCGAGTTCGGCGTCTCTTATGAAATCAAATTTCGTCTATCTAGTGCAGGGGTCGGAAACGTTTTCGTGTAAACGGGCCATTCTTTAAAAAAAATCCGAAACAATGGTTTTCAAAGAGCCGCAATGGTTAAAATAAAAAAAAAAAAAAAACATACCACACAGTACAAAACAGGACTAATATATTTTACTAATTAATATTCATTGATAATTTTTAGGCATTAAAAACATAATATTACGTCTTAAATTTCAAAAAATGTATTTAACGAATACATTATTATTGTTGTTGTTGTTTCTAGATCTAGAATGTCTAGATATTAATGCATTTTCCAAAGAGCCACAGATTGCATGTTAAGAAGCCGCTGGTTTCCGACCGCTGATCTAGTGCATTTCAGGGGAGGTAATTTTCTTTGTTATATTCTGAATATTTCGGAAACAGCTAGGAAAAACGGGAAAATTCGTACCGCAATAAAACGGTTTCTGTTCATTTTGATTTTGTTTTTCGTTCTGATTCGGTTAAAAATCATAGATCTTTTCGCTATAAAATTGTATTAAAATTGTTTATACGTCGTGTCATTTTCAAATTACTATTCTAACATTTTTTTGAGATATTTATTAAGTTGTTTAAAATTTTAGATTTTTATTTTTTTTTTTTCGGCTTCGTGCCATAAATGGTCGAAAATTGTTATACGAGGTTCATCAAATAAAAAAAAAAAAAAAATTATAAAAGTCAAACGTAATGTACAGTAGTTTTTGTTTTTTTTTTTTTTTTTAAGCGTGTAGTTAAAATTTCGATGAAAATCGATCGAATCGTTTTAAAACACGTTCAAATTGTCGTTTCCTATATTAGGTGGGTCACACGAAAAAAAGAAACGCGTCGTTCATTCCGCCACCGTCGTCCAAACGTGCGCAGTGCACACGTATGTCACACGAAAAATAATACGATATATTTGTATACCGGGTGATTCTTTTATCGTTAAACACTCATTATTCCGAAAAGTATTGGCTATTTTTAGAATATTTTTTTCCCATAGAATCCATTGACGAGATATTCCATTTTTAAGTTCGGGTAGGCGGAGAATAGTATTATTGATGTATTATTAAAACGCCGCGCGCCGGCGCCCCGTCACGCAAGAGACGATCCACTACTCTCACCCGACGAAACTTAAATGTGAAATATCACGTAAATAGATTGACGGTAATTAAAAATGCCAACACCGACATTTATTCCATCTAATTGTCCGTCTATTTATGGGATTTTTACTATCAAAAGTAGGTAGTCGTTTTACCCCCCCGAAAATTACGACGACAAAGAATTATGTCAGTTGTAAAATTGTAGAGCTGCTTGTTTTTTTTTAAATTTTCTATAAAATAAATTCCGAAAATGTTTAACATCTTCCGAGATAATGAGTGCTTAACGATAAAATAATCATCCGGTATTCCGTAGGTACACCGTACCGGGTGTGTACTGTACATCGGTACTACCACCTATGCATTATTCATCGTCCGAACGTTTAAATATTATAATAATATTATAATGTGTAGGCGGTTTTTTTTTTTACACTACTGGTTTCTTCTTCGTCGCGTTACCAGCAGGTACCTGCCTATATACTCGTATAATAATTAGTCAATTACCGACATTGTGTTTTTACACTGTACACGCGATAATATTTGTTATAATAAAGCCGGTGCACAAGAGCTCCATCTCACGCACGCACAATATTATCGGTTAAGTGCGTGATTAGTGTATGTTAACTTTTAGTAGGAATTCGTTCCCATTCCTCGTTCCTTATTTACAAAAAGAACTCGTTCCTGTTCTTCGTTCCTTAAAAAAAATAACTCGTTCGTTACTTAAGCGATCCTTTATGAATACCGAATGTAGTTCAAAATAATTTTTTTATATTTTTAGTTTGAAAATATCACTAATTAATTTGCTTTGGAACACCAAGTCACGTGTCAACAAAAAATTTGTTGGAAGAATCTTATCTATTAGATTAAATACTCGATAAGCGAAATTGTACTCCTCAAATGTGTTTTAGAACAAAAACGTTTTTGTGCCTTTTATATCGGGCTGTATATTTAGAATAACACAAACACCCGATGAGATTCCCTTCAAAATTATCTTTTCTATTAACTTCATACTTTTCTCTACATTATTCTACGGTACTTTTACTCTAAAATCAAAGTTAAGCTATAGTTTTACTTAGTCTGCATAATTTGTTCATTTTTGGTGTGGCGTCCTCTTAAATCAATGTACGTCCAACGTCAAAGTTCTATTTCAGTACGCGTTGTTCAGATGAGTCGTGATTTTTCCTTCTTTCCGTGCGTTTTAAGTTATACGTTGCATACTGCAGTGGCTCTCAAAACTATGGTGCATCTTTCAAATGCACAGCGTGAGAAAAATCAAATCGATTTAACCAGTATCGTATTTCCTGAATCTAATGTCAACAATTGAGCCAAGTCACTGGAAAAAAAAAAAAAAAACGATTAAAATCAAAGCCGCATTATAATAGTCGAATCACTTTTTATGTTTTGAATTAATAAATAAAAATAATAATAATAATAAACGAATTAGAATAATAAACATTAAAATTTAAAAAAATCTTGTGAAACAATACAGAACAATGCGTTTAATCATGCAGTACTCAAATTATGGTACAATTTTAAAACTCTGAACTTGCGATTTCAGATAAGTTTATTTTTGCTCTGCCAAAAGTGTTCTGAAACATTGGCACCTAACATCTAAGTGTGTAACCATCTAACACCTATTTCACGCACATTCGTAACATTGTTTGCTAACGGTATTTCTCGGGATCCGTCTACACCCACAACAAACGTGTTCAAAATTTGATTAGGTACAGCCACTGTCAAATAACACGTCAGTGCATCGCCGATAATCTGTTGTCGCTCAGATTTTGTACGCGTTGCTGAGGCGACAACACCGCTTGGACCATACGGATTCGGATAACTGCCGTCGTTGGCATCTATACCATTATAATGTTACAAGTGGAATCATTCGTACGCCTTATACAAGAACCTATATTTTGTTCGAATCTGTAGCATTGTATCCATAGATACGCGGCTAAATAACTATAGGTATGTCAGCGGTACGTTTAATTTTTTACCATATTTTTTAAAATAATAAGATATCATTGCGTATAATATGGGGTTCTCGTTTTATATTCCTCGGCAGAAGACGTGGTGTGTATTATTATGTGCACGGAACGCTGGTATAATACCTACCTGCAGTTATTTAGCCATCATGACCGTCGACCTATTAACTAGTGGACTGCGCCTTGAGCGAAAATGAGCCACACGACATCCGAAAAGTAAAACTGTAGTATTGATATCTGCAGGGCCAGTGACGTGTTGTTAACAAAATTAAATCGAAAATAAATTCGAAAAATTCAAATAGATGTTCGGGATACGTTTGTTTAAGACAATTATATTATTATTAAGGTTGATTATCAATGCATAACATCGGGTTCAAAATATTAAGACATGAAGGGCACGCGGGTGGGGAATTGTGTTCACGGACACAAGTACAACAAATTGAGAACGAACTAGGTTGCCGGTGTTACGTTTACGTAGTTTTACGGAATCGGAATTTCAATAAAAATCGATTAAGAACAATTTTATTAATTCTCCAGTTCGTTGTTACGATAGGACAATCAACCCGTAGTGTAATAATGTCCGCATGAGCAAAACCGCCACAAGTTCAAACAAATTGAATTATGAGTTAAATGCGTTTTAAAAAAATCGTAAAATTAATAAAAAAAAAAAAAAAAAAAAAAATTTCCATTTCCATTTCTAACAATTTTTTTCTCGCGAAAATCAAAGACTAAATTGTTTCATTTGAAAGTAAAACCTTAATTGGCTACAAAATATTATATTAACTAGTGTGTGAGGCGAGCATAACAGTGAACGAACAACGCGAGCGGATCCAATACACGCGATTTAGGTTGACGCACGCATTTGCGTGCGCCATGGCCAATAACTCATGGCATACCCGCGTAATCATAAAATTATATCATAACGAAAATCGCAATTAGTTTTGTGGTTTGAATGTTAAATAACAAATTTTCCGAATACGCTGGTGTTGCGAAAAGACAATTTTGCACCACCGCAACTGAAATTGATGGCGCAAGTGCTACGTTTACACGGGCGAATTTACACCACCGTTGGTAGATGCTAAAGCCATAGACACGTCGCGGACCCATAGGGGCAACGCTCCCACAATCCTCTTTTACGGCACCACGACACGTACGCAATAAGCAACTACGCGTTTCGTTTACGATTTTTTACTACGAAAATGTATCATAACTTTTTTAACTTTATTTTGTTTTCGCGCCCGCAATTGTCCGTATGCAATCCGTATTTTCTTCTGCTTATCGATAGTAGAAATACGCTTGTCGGATAGTTCTGGGAGCACTAAAGACCTCCCCCGCCCACCACCCCTCCGGGCACGCCACGGCCGCGTCTATGGCTCGCGCTCACGTGTCCCCCCCGTCCGTTAACAACGCGGCGCCGCCGTCATTTCTCCTTGTGCCCCGATCGTCGTAATAATATTATCGATACCGTCTCGTCCAATTCGCATTGCGCCCGCACGGTGTTTCTCCGGCCCGCGACACGGCCTGTCGCCGGCCGCGGGCTCGCGTCCGCGACGTGCGCGCGCGCGCAACTTCTGCCCGTCTTCCTGAACATCCCGTCGTTTCTCTTACGCCATTGTCACACGGGTACCGTTTGTGCGGCTGACGCGCTCGCCCGCTAATGTTCCGATCGCACGGTAAATTCGCGCGCGTTATCGAACGGCGTAGGCACGCCGGACGGCCAATAACAACGGCGTTGCGCAACGAAGCGCGCGGGTACATTGCGACTCGCTCGCACATTATGATCGCGGGCAATAAACCATTTCGATGACGACGATTTTTAATCGGTCAATTTGTTTTACTCGCGTCCCTTTCTCCCTTTACGTGCGTATCATTGTATATATATAAAAAAAAAAAAAAAAAATACGCACTTACATATCCGCTTACTTTTTACGGTCTTCTTCGCGACGATCCCACCAACGTAGATTCGACCGCCCTACCCGATCTCCTATCTCCGAGCATTCGCCGCCGCCGCCGCCGCCGTCTTTGTCCGTTCGTATTTCACAAGCATAATTATTGTAATAATTCCGTGTGTTCAAAATAATCTTTTATTTTTTTTTATTTCAAATGCACAAATTCTTTAGTATACATATATATATTATGTATTATTAATTACCCTCAGTAAAGAGAAGAAAAAAAATGTAACGTTTTTTTTTTTTATTTTTTTGACCGGCTAAATATGTTAACGACATAATAATACTTAAAGTTAATACATAATTATTATTCCGACTATAACGTTTAAATTCATATGAAGAAAAAAAAAAACGTACACTTTTCTGTAATAAATAATCACAGAAATAATATTATCTTACATAATTATATCGCTACCTAGAGATTTTTTTTTTTTTAAATTTTAATTCTATACAAATACCACTACGCGTTATTATAACGATATGTATTATTTGCACGCAATTAATCTTACGCGGTATATTAATTATCCCATAATAACGCGTTCTATCCTTCGATGAATGATAATTGCAGAGCATCGAAGAGTTCACCTTGTTTTTTTGGAAAAAAAAAAAAAAAAAATCAGTCTAGCTGTTTTTCTAGGTAGTTAGTTGATTTCTTATGTAAATGTTGAATACCTACACATATGATTTACGCACAACTAGTTTAACTACTCGATTAACATTTTTTATTTGAATAACATATTTGCTTTCAATGTAACGTAATATTGTTGTTTCTGAACGTTGCTATGATGCGTGTTCTTTTTATAACAAACGAAAACAAAACATAGAATAATTATTATTTACACCGTCGGTGATAATTTTAACGATTTTTCTGTTCTCCAATAAACTCCCGCGAGAAATATACGTGCTAATATTAAAACGCTTGCAAGACGGAGCTGGCGCATGCGGTTATCGGTTACGGATGTTCGACAATACGTTTTCGTTATCCGTTATCCGTTTTTAAAAAAAATATCTCACATCCTCTCCCCTCCCCCCCATTTTATACACAAAACTATAAAAGTGCAATAAATATAACAAGAAAGACATAACGCATTTTTATACCGCCAAAGGACGGACGGACACGGGTTATTCGGTATGTTTATTTTACCGTTACCTCGGCGACACGGATGATTTTATTGTTTTAGTTTATTTGATTGTCACGGGCGAGAAATTCCCTTTTTGGAAGATAAATTAACGGGCGCCAAACAAACTCGAGCCAGCCGATTTTACGTCAACCACTCGTGTTACTTCCTATTGAGTTATACCCGACGTCCGCCAACTGGTCGACCTATCCGCCCAACCGTTAATCGAAAAAAAAAAAAAATAAAAAAAAATACTCGTCTCCGGACTCGCGGATCTACCCTCGCGGATCTTATTGAATATTATTACTTTAAACGAAGATTATAATTTATGGAAATTCGTACGCGTTATCTACCCGTAATCTATACCCATTTACGGTCGCGATATTTATTATTGTGTACACACGTTGTACGCGCGGTCATTCGAGACATTTCCGGTCGGAATAACGTGGTGAAATGTGGAGAAAAAACCGCACGGTTATGGTAACAAGGGTAATATTATTCATACAATAACACGCGGTACACGGTGTTATTGTATCCCGGTTCCCGATACTGGAAAACGCGCCGCGCCATAGATCATTTGTAATCGTTTATTATAATAACGTCGATGCATATTATAATAATATTACGTGGTGTACTCCCGACGAGTCGGCGCGATATTATAGCAATCGCGTTAATAGCGCGTATTACTTGGGGAACGCGTGCCAAGTCGACTATGATTTTTTTTTTTTTTTTTTATTTTTATTTTCCGTAATATATTGTCGTGACGCGTACAGCGGAATATAAAAAGCGTTATTTCCAAGCGCCCGTGTGTCCACGCCGGTGTCGAGAGGACGCTACACTCGCGCGTGCCGTCTCGGGCCGACCGTAACGGGCGGCGTAGCGAAGTCTGTTTTACGCAGTCTCCGCGGGACCACTCGCTCAGTGTCGGCCTCAGAGTAAAGAGCACCGATGAGAAAACTAAAAAGAGACCAATGTCTCAGGCGGGCGAGACGGCGCGTCTCGTTTCTCTGATTATCGTTCCGGTCGTAATAACGTTCCGCGCGCCGTTCGAGAACAAAACCTAATTCGCCGTTCCCGAACGGCCGTAACGCGTTAAAAAAAAAAAAAAAAAACGAATCTAAAAATATAAACGCGTCGCGCCCTCGGGAACGCATCGTCCTCTTTTGGTTCCGGAACGGGCGTTTTTGCCATGAAAACCGAAAACCCGAAACTCGAAAAGCCGAGCGAGATTCTACGCGGATTACGGATTTCGCCACGTCGTCCGCTGGCCGGAGCGAGACGGCGCATGCGGGTGCACGCGTCCGCTCAACGATAACGCAACGTACCCAATAACGCCCGAACGTATAGCCACGGTAATAATAACGATTCCGTGGGCAGACGAACGTCACGTCGAGCGGTATTTCACCGGGTACCGCGGGAGAACGAAAAATACCCGCATCGCCTCGGGAACGACAAAATCTAATAGCAATAATAATAATACGTTCGTAATATCCGGATGGATTCGACTGTCGTCGGAGAGAGTGGTTAATAAAGTTTTACTATTATTATTTCTCGTTTCGCCCATCGAGACGGCGGTAATAATATTGTTTTATCCGCGATAAAGACGCGCCCGGCCGCTTGTGCCGACAGGCCGGTTAACTGGTCGAAATCCCCGCGAGACAAAAAACACACACACACACACACGTCATAATCGTTTGGAAACGTACATGATAATAATATTGTTACCTATCGGGGAATAGAAATAGACAAAAAAAAAAAAAAACAACAACAACAGATTATTATTATAAAAATCAAACATACGGGCGCGATAATATATTGTACGTCATAATGCACAATGCGAATTTTCGGGCGGTCGCTGTTTGTTGTTACGCCCCGCGGACGACGGCGTACGAGTGTCGGCGGTTTTCGGTTTCAGATTCTGATCGGAGCGGCGAACGCGGTGTTTTTCTGGCGCGTCTGCCGGAAACTTTCTACCGGTAATCTTGCTCCGGCCGAAAACGTTACGGGGACTTTCTTGTAGCGTCTGTTGATTTTAGTGTCGGCGTTTGACGAGGCCATTTGCTGATTTTCCTAATGGTTAAAAATATGAAAACAAAAAAAAAAAAAAAAAAAACTGACAATATTTTCTAGAAGTTTTGTCGATTTCGGGTCACCTTACTGGCGGCAAAGGATAATACACACGGCAAACAACACGCTCTGCTCGGAATCGTTTTTCGTTAGCAATGGTTTATCGTTGCGCACGGATAGAAATATAATTACTCCATAGTATACCCTCCCTTTCAATCACGTCCAACGTGCAGGCAGTATCGGCGTTTGTTTTTTTTTTTTTCGGTATGATAATAATGTACAGTAGTACACAGTAATCGTTCAATAACCCGCTTTTCTTAAGCACCGGCTGTCGAGTACGAGTATGCGTTTGTGTTTTCGTATAGGTATTATTTGTGAGACCGATCCGATTACACACCGTCAGAAAAATTACAGTGCCGATGTTACATACGAATAGTAACCAAATTTATGTAATCGGGCGATTTCCATTTTGAATCTTTTGGCGTTCGATGCAATGTCGTTAGTTTCGAATATACCTATGTAATACACTAGTTTAAATTCCGTAATAGTGCGTGTAATTAGTGCACGGCGGGGTTCGGCGTGATAATTACTCCGCTCATTCGTTGACTACTGTTACATTTACTACTAATATAATATATTTAAACGGTTTCGAACGATTCATTTTTTTTTTTTTTTTTTTTACAATGGATACGTATCTGAATTTAAAAAAACCGTTTATAGATTAATTGGTCCACGAATTAATTCAAAAATACTAAAAAGTAACAGTTCTGAAAGCGAAATAATATTATATGACATTTTTCGTTGTTATACCTGCGATTATTCGGCCACGCAACAATTGACATCGCAAAAAAGTAGCGCATTCTTTATTGTCTCGGTGACGAACAATAATATATAATAATACACGACATGTTTGACTGGTGGGCGTAATTAAGTGATTTTCATTTTTTTTTTTTTCCAGTCCAATAACATAAAAATTACGGAATGCCTTGTTAACAACTGCGATTATTACTCGTCATTATTACGTGCTTCATTATTTAGACGAACGAATTCCCTTCTCAAGTATTGCTAGTCAGCTGTGTTATCGATGAATTTCTAGTCTCGTCACTAATGTTTCACTGTGGGGGAAATTGTGAGAGAAAAAAGAAATTTATCGGATATTCTCCGATTGATTGTTTAAAAGTATAACTTTCTGGGTTTCAAACATTTTCCCTTCTCGTTTCGTGTTTTTGACAATTCTCTCAAAGTTTCGATTATTCAATTCGTGTAACAGGTACACTTACTTCAAAGGTAAAGATATTAAAAGAATTAATCAATTTTAGTTGTTTTTTAATGCAAATATAATTGCAGTTTTTTTAAAAGTCGAGTTGTATTTTTATATTCGAATTCTGAGGAAACTACAAGTTATAACGCGAAATTCCTAACGAAGTGAGGTCTTTCAATTGGTCTTTTGCTCTTTTTAAATTATAATTTTATTGATTTTTATGTTTCCTCCGTGTGTGTCCGTTCTAGCTTTTTTTGGATCCGCCCATAAGTATATTGTGCAACTTTTATATCGCATTTTTCGCAAATTTCCCCCTTTGACGGGTCGTTTTGAAACACACCGTTAGCGATCGAAATGCATTTTTCGGAACATTCGTTGACGGTTTCGGGGGAATTTGAACCCGAGGCCTGTATCTGTTACGTTGTTACGCGTAATACGTTCCGTTCTGTCTGGATATACGCGCAACGACTCAATCGACTGTGATAATATATATTTTCCACCTGCAACCCACGCGCGTATACTTACATTATTATTATTATTATTGTCCAGTAGGTACGCCATTATAATATTATAATAATATACGAGTACGTATGACACTGCGCGGCCGCGTGGTGCGGCGTGAATGAAAACGGGCTCCGGCGCAGGACGAACAAAACAGGCCGTAAATAACGCGGCGAGTCTGCAGCGCGAGATGATGTTATACTATATTAACGAAATAATAATAACAATGATATTCTAGTTATGCACGCGGGATAGTCTAATGACGAGAAAAAAAAAACATAAAAAAAACAACCGATATTAAATACGAAACTCCGGTCGCGTGTTCACTGTGTCACTGTTCACGGCCACCGTATTCTCAAAACACTGAAAACGTAAATTTGTGGCGTTTAGGTCGAAATGAGAATTGTATTAATTCGCAGACGTGCAGACGATAAACCGGATTGCTAACTGGATACAACGACAAGTCGGCCTTGTTGAGAACAGATAACGAAAATTTCACCAAGATAAGATACAGATAGTTCTCTGTAAATTTATCTAGACACAAAGATAAAGGCATACTTTACGTTTATCTGGATCAGATATGGATAGCCCAACATTTATCTAGATAGTTTTTAGATGTTTTTAGCGCTTTGGGTTTTTCCAATTTATAGCCTACGCGAACGGTCGAAATCGTTAAACGTTATTTTTTAACACCATCGTTGATTATAATTAACAGTACTCGTAATCGATGATGCCATAAACACAATTACGGCAATACGATATTATTATTTTGGCTACAACAATATTATGCGGTCTTCAAAAAAATGCGGCGATCAAACGCGCGAAATCAAATGCGTTTAAGGTCGGCAATTAATCGCCCGGTGTGCAAGCCACTCGAATGTTTTTACTATGTGAACATTTTTAGCCCAGACTTAAAACCGATTTATACTCTCGACTTTGAACAACGGACCGCCTGTACATTTCATAAAAAATATCTGCATGCCGTACGACGATTAATGTCGCGGCGAACAATCTTCCGGTCGAAGCGTCGTAAAATAACGTCCAAAAGTGTCGACTTTGTGCATTTCGCTAGCGGGAACATAGTGATATTACGCGTATATACTAATCGGATGGTGTCCGGATCGAACGGTTTCGGTAAAGAAAAAAAAGGCGGACGCGGGCGCAGTAACCGCCGCGGCCGGGAAGTCGGGTGGGAACGATGACGAACGGGAATTCGGGAACCGGCGGGTCCAGTTACGCCGCTCACCGGCGAGCAATCGCGCGGGTGGCGATCGGACGCCGCCGATCGGAACATTCGATTCGGCCGTCTAGTCGCCACAGGCGTACGCGCGTACGTTTCATCTGCGGGCGCGCTCTGCCCATCCGCCGCCGTCCCCGGGTATAACGTTTCAACGTCCTCCGGTGAAAAATCGCCAGAGACCGTGAACAAAACACTCGCATTATATTCTCATATCTATCCCGGCATATTATTATTGTTATTATACTGGCGCGAGCGTATACGAGCGGCGACGGACGATTTAATACCATTATTGTTATTATAAGTACGAGTACCACGCCGCCACTGGCCGCGGTATAAATATCACGGTAAAGGTGTCAGCGCCTCGGGGGACGCGCGTGCGTGGGCCGAGAGATAGACCGGGACGGGGCCGGGGCGCGCACAACCTCCTCCCGTTATTGTAGCGGCGGCGGCGGTTCAACACCGTACCGCTGTAGCTGCTGCTCCCTCGACGAACGTGTCTTTTTTATTATTATTATTTTTTTTTTTCACTATAAAATATAGGTACGCGCGTGTCCGTATGATAATAATAATAATAATAATATGTCTATATATTATAATATGCGTTATACACTACGCTGCTGTTGCTGCTGCTGCTGCCGCAGCCGCCGCCGCCGCAAACGTTCGCGTATTATCCAATGTGACATTTCCACTATAACCCCGTTGAAACGGCGACGCATAAATAACGCGCCGCATTGGTCGGCGATATAATAATATACACGTATACACCGAGAACTCGCGTTTTAAAAAAAAAAAAAATTCTTTACGACTCGGTCCGTTGCGCCATCGTGGTCGTTGTGTAGACGCCATGCGTCCGAACGGCCGGTACAGATCTCACGCATGAGAGAGAGAGAGAGAGAATGAGAGAAATATATAGCGATACAGAGAGACTGCGACTCTCCCTCTGTCTGTCTCTCTCTCTCTCTCTCTCTCTCTCTATAGTATTTAAGCACAATACTCAATGTATATTTTTTCGAACACAATGCGCGAGAATGTAAATAATCCGCCGAAAATATTATGCGACGTCAATCTCGCCCGCGACGACGAGAAAACCGTGGTTGTTTAACGATATAATACGACGCGGACGACGTGGTACGCGATAATACGCGATACACTACCGAGTGACCGCACATAATGCATGTGTGCCCACTATGATCTAGTCGACATAACAAACAAAACGCGCGGCACAAATACTTATTCAGAGGCGATCGCGTGTTAACACGAGCGTTCGTGACGGGATTACGTGTAGCCGACGAAAATCGATCGTCTCGAAAACGTTCGAAGTGATTTTCCGACTTTCGTATGCAAACGTTTAATCGTTTTACTGCTCAATTAATTATTTAAAATATTGATCCGCAGATGCGATTAAACAGTCACGTCCGTTGAAACGGACGGTGATAATGAAACGGTTAAAACGGTCTCGGCTACTTATCGCGCGTGTTTACTGTGCAACGGTTGAATTCGTTCGGAAAAAAGTCCGCGTATGTAAAAAAAAAGCTCGACCCTCCCTCCGTCTACGCACAGACGCAAATTGTTTGGCTTTTAGTAATTCTCGGAAATTCACCCACGGGATTATATTTATGTTCTGGCGGATACACGAACACGACAGTATCTTAACATTTTTTTTTTTCTCCACGATAGACATACGGGATGAAAACGGAAAATCCGATTCTCTATTCGGGTACCGTTATCGAAAATAACGACGGCACGAATAACGTCACACCGATCGGACCGCGGGAAACGTGTTGACAATCAATCGTAAGTCTGGACAGAGTCCTCGTTCTCCGCGAGCAAGTCAATGTAAAACCGCGATGTACATGCAAACAAACGATTCCTGCCGAACCATCCGATATAATCCGAACCGCGGGAAAATCGAAAATCGAACCCGCCGGGCCGAAGGCACGGTGTACGCGATCTCGACAGAGTCTACTCCGGACTTATTGACGTAGACGACCGGGCGATTGTTCCGGAAAGTGTCCTGGCGCGGCGCCGTCATGTCACGGGACGACATTAGGGTTCGCCGTAACGCCGTTTCGCGTTAATGGCGTCCCCCGAAACGCCTGCAATTGTCGTCGGCATCGTGCGCCCCGGCATCGTCCGTCGGTTTCGCCGAAAGTCCGGCGCGGTCCCGGCCCCGGCCTCCGGTATCGCTGCGTTGCCCGCGCGGTGTGGCCGCGGGTTACGGGCCGGTCGCGGACCCCCGTGCGCGGCCGGTCGCCCCGTCGTCCCGAAAATTTCCGACACCGTGCCGGTCCGGCGACCGCGACAGTTCGCGCGCGCACATTGCCGCACGCCGGTTCGCCGGGGCGACGCGTTTTAATCGGACGCGAGCATCCTGCGCACGGGGACACGCGCGCACGCGCACGTATATTTTTTTTATCATATTACAGAGTGCAACGGTTAGAATAATAATAATAATGCGGTCCCGTGCGGCGGCGGCGGCGGCGGCGGCAGGACAAGAGAGGCGACTCGTGTAAATCACGATTCCGAACACTGTATAATATTGCGTTATGTACGCGCGCACGGCCGCGAACTGGACCGTGTGTTGTTGAGCAACAATGACCGCGGTGTGTGCCCGTATTATATTATTACGCTGTTGTGTACAGGTATGCATTTACGCACTACTCGTATAACGTATATACGAGTGCGGTATAGGTGTGCGTGTGTGTGTGTGTATACCGAGCGCGGTAGATGTTTATCATTATAAAACATCGATAAATAAAAAATTAAATTAAATTAAAAAAAAATAACCGTACGCGTGTACACGGGCGGGTGTACACGCTTTCTATACTATATACATAATCAAAGATAATAATAATAATAATAATATTTCGCATACATATATTGTAAAAAAAAAAAAAAACGTACACACAGGGCGCGCGGACTGAAAAATCTCTGTTACATCAATTCGGATTATGCATTGTATTATTATTCTACGTCCGATTTACGTATAAATTTCTCGGTTCCCCGGTTCCGACCGAATAAATTATGACGCGGTGCGCGTGCCCGTGTCGTTGCCATTACGCCGGCTGGTCGGAAGTCGTGTCGCGTAAATACGTTTCCGTATTTCGTCGCAAACACGCCGCGTGCCCCTCTGTATACGCGATGACCAGCCGCCGTCGCCGTCAGTGGCGCAGAATCGATTTTAATTTGAAAATTTAACGTTCTGTTGGTTGTTTTTTTCGTTCTTTCTATTTCCCGCGACACTGTCATTAATTGGAAACTAAAAACGCGGCGGCGGCGGGGAAAAAAAAAACACCACGATTCTCGGGCGTGACTTCACGCTCGCGTAAAAATATAATAATGGCCCGTGCAGTTTTTCGTAAAAATCTCTCGACTCGTACGCGGGTCGCATATATTATTACAACTATATCACTGTAGCTATTCGAGACCGTTGTCGGTGAATCGCCGCCCGATCCCTAAATCGCGTACGAGATGCGGCCCGGGTGGTTCGTGACGAGAGAGACGCTTTCGTTTTTTTATCGTCTAAGTTCCTAGATTTTTCCCCGTAGGCTTGCACTTATGCCGTCACTATAACTCCGTCAAGGCCTGGAGCTCGGTTAGTTTCCCGCCGGATTTAGACAACTAGGGCTCGCTATCGACTATTTCACGTGTACACGTGTGTTCGCGTATTGGCGCGCAGTTAACATTCGTTTTTACAAAAACCGTGAACGTGATAAATCCGTGTATACGTGCAAATTATGCTTACTGACTGTGCGCGCATTGTAATACAAACGAGTACATCGAGTTTCTAACTTATAATAACAATCAGTTTACGACTGGACATCGGCAATACGCGGAGGCCGGTCATCCCTTATTTATATTCGTACTGTTGTGCCAGAACACTGCACGACGATCGTTTGGTATCCGCGAATAACACTAAAACACGTAAACACGATTATTCAATTCACACGAATCGATTATATATGAACACAAATTTTTCATTCACGTAAACGCGGATTCCCACACGTACTAATTTAGGTTTCAAATCGTGACCTCTACTTTGAACCCATTATTCGGGTCAAGGCCAAAGACGGTTTCGTTCGTAAGTTGATTTTGGTGGCGCAAACAATTTTAATCGTGGGGCAATACAGTTTTTTTTTTTTTTTTAACTCACCTACCCCTGAAACGGATTATTAGTTCCGAATGTCTTCCAGATCCGGTGGCAAATGAAAAAACTACAACTGTCCCGTTGAAAATATGAAAACCGCCCGCCCGCCCGCCAAATTTTCGTCTGGCACAGTAGTCGCCCCGAAAAACCTCGGTCGTGCATGGCGATTGGCCTCCACAAGCGAAAATGTTACGTTCCCTCGGGGAACCAATACAAATCGACGCGTCACGTTTTTTTAATTTTTTTTTTTTATTACGGTTAAGCCGCTTACAAACAGTAATGGGTTTCGACCGATTACGTTTTTATCTGAACGTTATTTTTCGGGTCGGTCGGTCTTGGTTTCGGGTTTTCGATTCAATAATACGGGTCAATGGTTCGGGTCATACGGGTTACACGTCCAGTTCGTGGCCAAAGCCTGGGGTTTTCGCACGCCTACACGTGTGTTTACCCACGATAGCCGTCCAACAATGTCGCGTACGACAAATAACTGATAACGCGCTCGTTTGTTGATACAATGCGCGCGCAATATCGAGTGCGCAGCGCCCAACGAGCGGCGACGGGTTTCACCTTTCGCGTGCGGAACGTTCGTACGTGGAGAGTACGTCCGCGGGTCACGCCGCGCGCGCGCGCCCCGCGGCACACTCCGTAACAATATTATATTGTCGCGTCGCGTACGCGCGGGCAATAATAATTTACACGACGTGTACACAGATAAGCCGATAACAATATAACACGGTGCGCGCGTGTAAACAAAACCGTTTGTTTCGGGCTGAAAACGCACACGGTGTTATTATGCGTTCGATGCATTACGCGCGGGTGCCTATTATATCGGCGGCGGCGTCGGAAAGGACTGTGGCCGCGGCGTCTCCGCGGCGGGTGTTTTTGTTTTTTCAAATAACATCTTTACACAATATATATCTTCTTTTTTTTTTTTTTGTCTTTCTTTCTTATTCGCGCCCGCGAGCTCGACACAATCCGCGCACGACTGTCGTCGCCGCGTTTATGTTAATCGTATCCGGCCGATCTTCTGCTCGCGGTAGTCTCGTCCGCGGCGACACCCGAGCGCATTAGGTGTACGGGCGCGGCGGTCCCGCGGCGGCGAGAATTAGCATTGTTTCGCCGCGTCGTCTTTCTCTCTGTAGAATCGCCGCCGCAGCCGATTAACCGCGACAAAATTTACGTTCCTCGCACGCCGTTCAGGAGTACCTGCACGCCCGCCCCGTATATTATTATAACGACGTCCTCGCCACCGTCCGGACACGTCAATACGAAATACGACGCGACGTTGATAATCGCGCGCGTGAGCGGGAGGGGAAGCGGCGAGAAAAAACACAAAAAAAAAAAACGACAAGTTTCTCCGCCGCGATTTCCACGAGACCGCGAACGCGGGCGGCGTCCGATTTTCACAGAAACGCGCGCGTATTCGGATACGTGACCGACACCGCTGCGCCATTATAACCCGCGCCGAATCTTCCGGCCGCTTTCCCCGGTGACGCTGCGCGGGTATCCGTGCGGCGGCGGATCTCCCGTCGGCCGATTGTTTTCCCCGTCCGCGACCGCCGTGACGACGACCGCGGAGACGGGTACGTGACGCGCGTGATCGACAAGTGATTTCCGACGCGAGTTATGTGATCCGGCGGTATTTCGCACACGGACGACGTAGAAGACGGCGACGGGGGAAAACGGGAGAAAGAGAGAGAGATTGTGAGAGGATTAAACGGACAATGTAGCTGTGCGTAGCGCCAGTGACAGATTTAGTTCTAGAGGACGTGTATTTTAAAATATGCGTGCACGGTCACTCACTAAACGCGTTCACCCCATTTTTTGCCGGTTGAGTTTTGCGTGTATTCAAATTCTAATATCTGTTGGTATTTCCAAGTGTAGTTAAAGCCGATTTATTTGAATAATTAGTTTTTACGGCATTTAAGGAGTATCCTGTGGCGATTCCGACTTTGGTTTCTCAAATGATAACCTGCGTTAAAAATTCTATTGGTAGACGACGCATCACTTACAAATAAACTCTGGTGTAAAAATGCTTGTTTTCCTTCAAGCTCTGTACTACCACACAAATGATACCGAGGAGCTCTGAGCACGCTTAGTGCTTAATCATTCTGCGTTTATATATATTATGAACGGATATAATAAATAAAAACGAAAAAAAGTATTTAAGCGTATAGCTAACCAAAGTGTCTAGGGAAGATGCCACGACCCCTATTCCCACACCCCTAGACACAGCCTCTGAGTAGCGCTCCAGTGGATACCGATTCGGAGGCGTCGTTACAATTATTTTTAGATTCCGAGCGTAACAAGGGAGCAATTGGTTTTATATTTTTTTTCTTCTTGTCTGTGGACACGGTTTTTTCATAATAAACTTGCTCCGATTTTCACGTGTACCACTTTTCTGAAAGATCATCTTGTCTAGACGATACTTTGAAAGAGTTTATTTTTTAATTGGTGACGTCATTTTTGAAACTGAAAAAACTCAAGTCGGAAAAAACGTAGGGAAACGTACAATTTCACGATTTTATTATTTTATAAAACACAGACGAAGTTTTCTACGACGTTTTCTAATGATTCAATCGAAAAATCGCTAAAAAAACTTGATAATAATACTTATAATAGACTTACCTAGATGTGGTAGAATTTTCAAAATCATTAGATGACTTTTATCCCTTTTTTTAATAAGCGTTTGGAAATCAAATCTCGAACGAAAATCGCAAAAAAAAATTACGGCACTTCAAATTATGAATTACCGAACTGCGCTCGGAATCGTCTTTCGTTAAGCAATGGTTTATGATTGCTTACAGATATAATTTGTATACAAATTTGGATGTTTAGTAAAAAAAAAAAAAAATAAAACCCTATGTACACTTCATTATTTCGATCGAATGACCGAATGAATTGCACTTAATTATTGTACTGTGTATGAGTCCGATAAAGAAAGAAAATATTAGTTTGGGCTTTGTATAACGACATTAAAACCGTTTTCAAAACGCTCGAGTCATGTAGTTTAAGAAATCAAAATCATTTAAACAGTTTTATGTAAATACTTTAAAAATAAATAATGTATCGAACCCCCCCCCCCCCCCCCCTCCCATCATTAAACCCGACACTGGTACAACAGTAAACGTGCATCCTCTGTGTTCAAAAACAGTTCGGATAATTTCCACCGTTACAGGTTTTCAATCGTACGCCTATAATATAATATACTATTATAAGCGCGCGTAATGTCGAAAATCAAAAGTAAAAAAAAAAAAAAAAAGTAAAACGATTATCGCGTTTTTTTACGCAACGGAAACATTATATTATTATTGTATTGTATACGGAAATTTTATACGGCCAGCGTTTTTTTTTTCCGCCTTCGTATTTTTTTTTAGTCCTAAATTCATGCGAAATAATAAAATAATTAGTTATGCCATTGACTGCAACCGCCGCTGTGCAGTCCGAAGCGGTGTATTGTACACACCCGTACGCTGTATACGCGGACCGTTGTCTTGCGGGTCGATAACAAGACACGCGTATACATAAAAATGATAAAATAATATTTCTTACGGAAAAAAAAAAAAAAAAAACTGTAACGACGATAAAAATACACCCATACCTTCATAACAGTTTTTAAATATATTACACGCGTCGGTTCTGTTAGAATTAGATACTGGAGAATTTACACCGCGTTTAATGGTAACGTCTCTCGAATAATATTATTTGCCGTGAGAAATGCGACAAACCAATATGTCGCAATGGACATTCGTATTCAGAGGCGCAGTAAGGACGCGACACTATCGCAATGGTACCGTTGAACCTCTAAACATTTGTTTAGACAAAACATCCGAATCCAAGATGTCGTATTCACTACACCCAATCTCTCTGACTGTAGCTGCGTGTGACCGTAGCTTTGGCGAACTCAAACTCGTAGAGAATTATTTGAGATGAACTAAATGTCGTGCTTCTGAAAAACTTTCTACCTACCTATAATTCCTATAATTTTTGTACAGCGCTCTTTAATACAATTTTTTTTTCATTCGATATGTTGGTACAAATACATTTTAAAATAAACAAATATGTGACTATCAAAATATTTGAATTTTTTTTTTTTTACGGGGGGACGCCGGGTACATAAATTTAGGTTTGCCTCGGGTGACTGAAGAGCTAAGTACGGCTCTGTTCGTATGGCAAGTAATAAACGATTGTGAGAAAGGTGATGAGTAGGCTGCACATATTTTTATACTTTCGCGTGTTTTTATTGGTTGGTAAAAAAATAACTTGTCCATAACAAAATTTGATCCGCGACCTATCGATTCGACTTTTATTCTCAGGGCATATTTTCAAAAGTCTGTACATTTTTAAAGTATTTTAAACGCAACGGAACAAACCACAAGATAATCGCCCAATACATAAATAAGGCAGATATTCATATGATTTTGCGTATTTTTAATATATAGTAAAAAACAAAAAAAAAATAGCTAATCCATACCGAAACGCGCTTCACGACCGAACGATTCTATTTTAAATATTTGATGTTTTTAATTAATTTCTGCAGCGTATATAATATATTATATTAAAAGGTTTTTTTGCATTTCAGGATACAAATAAATGCCCCAGTGATAGGTGATATGAGATATACCTAAACAATTTTTTTCGTGTCACATATATTACGACAATTCGACAAAAAAAACAATTAAAAATATCGAATAAAAATAAAATAAATTAAAAAAACGAGCAATCTTATTAATATTTAATTGAATTTAAATTAAAAATATAGAAAAGGATTTTTTTCATTGGAAATAAAAAGGTTGTATTATAATATCACCTGTTGGGAAATTCGATTTTTCAACTTATCACGTTTCTCGCAGAAAAAAAAAAAAAATGATCCGACACATATTTTGATAATCACGCGTTATGTTGCATTCCTGTGATACATAATAGGAAAAAAAACAACGAATTTTTTTAGTAGTTTTTTTTTTATTCGGTGCAACGCGAATTCGCAACGCGGATCATTATATTATAATGTATAGGCATACGTAATATTATTCCGTTCGTATACACCTGCGGCAATACCGTATTAACATTACAATAATCTTCCGACCTGTCATTGTATTCTTGTTAAAAAAAAAAAAAAAAACTGTAATATATTTCCATGCGAAATTCGGCCTCTCCGCGCCGCCCCACCCCCCCTCACGACGGCGTTTCGTTTGTACCGCGGGTATCGTATCGGCGAGACGTGGTTTTTTTTTTTAGCAGCAACAAACGTCCGTCGTCGCGCGTCACAGACTCGATTTTTCTTATTGAAAACGCGTGTTCGACGCGAATCGTTTTGTTTCAGTTCACTCCGCACTGCGTGTAGGTACGCGCACGAAAGAAAAACAATATCGTAAACAATATCGCTCGCACTCGTTTATAATAATAATAACGATTGTTGTTATCATATTCTTTCCGTATATCGTTACGAGATAGTGCGCGACTTATTATTCGCTCCGCCCCGCCGTAATATCAAAATAATAATATGTATTATCACGCGCGCGCCCGCTGCGGCACGTTACCTCGCTACGCGTTACGATACAAATCAGCGCGCGGCCGGTCGAAGGCGTCGCACCGTTATATTATGTCGCGGTACGGAAAACCGACTGAAAACGAATCCAATACAAAGTGTATATTGTTATTATAATGTAACGGCAAGGCGGACGTTTTACCGTCCGTGTAAATATCGTTTGGTAAAAAACGCATGTACTTGCGCGACGCGTAGGCCGTCGCCGGGCCGGCCGTTGTAGTCGGCGTTGCGAATTCGGCGGGGCGCGCGTGTAGAGAACGACGTACGGAGCGTACGTTCGACACGCGAACGTCACAGCCGGAACCGTATCGGAGGGCGACCGGAGAGTTTTTTGTTTCTCGCAAAATCGATATTCTCCTTCCCACTATTCGGACTTTTCGGACAGCCGACATAATTGTATTCGTGCATTAGCGATTTGTGAGAACGAATCTATTTGAATCTATCGACCGCTCGTAACGTTTTGTTCCTTTCGCTTTTCGTAATGTTCAATTTCATTAAACTGAAAAAACAGTCCTGTATCTTATAAATTATTAATAATACGTTTTTTTTTTTTTTTAATTTTAAGCAAAAAAATAGCGAAACCAATATTTGTAAACGTACCAATATTATTACAATTGTATTGTCAGTGTCTTAAACCTGAAAAATGAGAAGGAGAATATTGATTTTGCAAAAAGTCTTAAACGTAATTTACGTATGAATAAAAAATATTTACGCAAACCTATCGTGTACAGCTCTAACCTATACAAAATACACCCGGGTCGCGATTCACAGAAAATATTACAAATAAATAATATAAACCTATAAACAGTAAAAAAAAAATTAATAAACGACACATTTGAAATTAAGGAAATCTAATAGGGAAATATGGGATAATAGTTGAAACACTCATAGTATAGTCTGTGAGTATCGTTCAGCTTTGAGTTTTCATTATGAATTATTGTTCGTTAGGGCGCTTTTTAAAGCTTTGTACCGGATGCAATATTTGGTCCCTACGTTCCTGGTTATAATAGTCACTCGTTATCTCGAAATTTTTTTCTTTAACACAATTTTTGAAAACGAGCCGCTCTAAAATGTTACATAATTAATATGTTTGGGGGAACGGGACACATTGTATTTGGCGATAAAGTTTTAAATCAATTTCAGTATTGACATGTTTGATTTTCGTCGTTATATGACAAGACATTCCGCTTTTAAGTGTGTCGTTTTGCATGAAGGGAGAGAGTAGTGGAGCGTCGTTTTTGTGAAATCTTTACATTATTGTTATTATTATTATTATTATTATTTTTTTTTTTTAAATAAAAACCTCGTCGATTTACATAAGATGTACGCATACGTTTTCAATAGACTTCTTCCGTATATCAGTGAAACGTGAAATCTATTTAAATTGATATACTCTGAGGTTTAATATTTCAGGACTTGTCATCGTGTAGCTGGCTATTCGACAATACAATTTGCGTAGGTCTCAAGACAATACACGCGTATGGTTTACAAAAATTGACTATTATAAATTGACTATTATATACTAGAATAAAAATCGATAATTTTCTCCAGACGTGGCTTCGATAATGGATAAAATGAGAGAAAATAGACTGAGATGGTTTGGGCATAAGTCATATGAATGAGAAGCAGTAAGAATTGTAACGAAAACAGAAGTTGGAGGGAAAAGAAGAAGACGATCAAAAATGAGATGGTTGGATGCGATTGAGAACGATATAATATGAGGTTGGCGGAGATAACGTGGGGAATCAGGTCAAACGGAAGTTTAGGACGGAGGTAGCTGACCCCAAATAGTCGGGATGTAGGAGAACGGTAGTACAAGAAGAAGAATGTCCGCGGATTGATGTTTAAAAAATGTCGACAGCCCGTTTTTAATTTTAGCATTTGATTTTTTATCAGTTTCAAATTCCAAAAAAAAAAAAAAAATGGATAGTTAACTACGAGACGAACAGTGATTTTTACATTATTATTTATAAATAATACGATAATTATACACGCTACGTATTGCAGCAGTCGCAGTTTAATAAAAATTATAACTATATAATATAAGGATGTAAAATAAAAAAAAAAAATATATGATGATAACAATATTTTGTGCTGTACAGGTACGGCTTTATATTTTTAGAGTGCCGAACCAGCCGACGCGTCGTCTGTGATATGCGATTAGTGAAGGATTAAAAATACCGCTTATCAAAACTGAAACGTCCGACACTATATAGGAAACCGTAAAAAATTTAAAGAAAACAGGTTTTTTTTTTTTAATTTGAATACTCGCAAAAATTCATCGAAATTAAAAAAATAATAAATAAATAAATACGATCCGCGTGCTCGCATCACGTGACACACGCATTATAATATTTATATTTGTTATTTCGATTAAAATTTTCCACGAGATAATTCTGTCGTTTAAATGTACACCTACCTGCGGATTGTTAACAAATTTAAATACATATTTTTTCGTGTTTACGCGATGCATTACAACCGACATGTCGACACAATACGTATAATTTTTTTTTTTTTGTTTTTTTGACATTAGCCTGATAAAAATTTTTAATTTATGTTTCCCCGCGAAAAACATCATCGTTCGTGATGCTTTTTTTTTAAATACATATTTTACACACCGAACTGCGTAATCTACACGATAAATCTGTCCGACTACATTTCACGTCTTATTGCGGTGCTGTACCTACAGTTTACAATTTTAAACCGACCGCTCTTTAGGTAGCCGAGTGTATACACATATTTTTTTTTATTTTTTATATTAATTTATTTATGCATGTGTACGGTGTATTGGTTTTCGATGGAAATGGTTTGGTACGAAAAAGACGAAAAATCGAAACGATATTATCTTAACACTCGTCGCACGCAACACGAAAACTATACTATTTAAATTAATATGTAAAACTACCGGTAAAAAATTACACACACATATATGTAATTAGATATATATATATAATGTATATGTATATTGTCAAACGATCGAGACACCTGGTTTTTTTGAACTTTACATCTCCATAATATAGGCACTAATGTGTAGATAACGAGTGGCCGAGTATGCAGGTATAAAAAAAAAAAAAATAAAAAATAAATTACAAATATATAATATCACCGAGAGAAATAATAATTGTTTATACCGCATAAAACGTCTAAAATTTAAAACTATGCGGAATGTACATTGGGCTGTTTGATTATTTTTTTTTTTTTTCATTATCGATTATTCTTATAAACGATTTCTTGAAAACATCGGTTAATCGAGGAAAAAACGATTTATCGGATAGTGTTCGATCGATCGTAAATCATTTTTTCCGGCTGATAATGCGCCACTACAAGCAATGACGGCAATGAGCAAACAAATGAGTACCGACGGGAGGAACAGAGGGATTATAAACGTTGATACGTGAACAAAAGTGACTCGGGAATCATATTTTATATGCGAGAGGGGGGGGGAACGAAAATGTATAATATAGGTGTAATTATCCATATTATACGTATCTAATTTTCCTTTGGACCCGTATATTTCCCGTCACGATATGCATGTAGAGGATCGGCTCGCAACTCTTATCTGTGCTTTTTTTTTTTTTTTTTTTACTCTTTCACAAGTGTATATCGCATGTTTATATGATTTTTAGACGGCTACGATAAACTTTAATTCTTTAAAAACGTGAACCGAATTGCATTGTCATCAATTTCGAGCTCCGATTTAAACACATATTTGGGTATACTTGGGTATAACTTTGGAGTATCAAATTATACGTGATTTCTGTAGTGAATTGTACTGCCACAGAACTATAATTGTTTTCAATCGGTAAACTCATAATGTATCTGTTATGTTACGAGAAAGTATTTACATTTGAAATTTTAATATTAAAAAATATTTTCATTCGTGAAAGGTTCATAAACAATATTAATGACAATTGAATTTAAATATTTGTTTTTGTTATACATAAAGTTTTGTCTAATCGTAGGGGAGCGAAAATATATATTTGTTCTCCTATGCCTTAGACAGAGGGAGAAAGTGCCCTCGGCCGCCGCTGTAGTTACGTGAAAGTGATAAGCTGTTGTATTGTGCGTTGTGCCAATCACCGATGACACCAACGGGATTATCCCGCGTTCGATATTTCGTATGTTAATAAGCCGCGTAGTAGTTGTGAGGGTTATTAAAAATTCCACATTTTTTTTTCGTATTTTAAACATTTTTAGCAAATTAATCGAAATGACGATCGGTCGATCGATTGAAAGTCGATTAATCGAAATAATCGAACGGCACCGTTGCACGCACAATCGAATTGAACAACAACAATATTGCACCGTATCATAAAATATTATGAACTTTCAAATGTCAATTAACACGCGTTTAACGTTTTCGGCCGTTTCTATAGTATAATGGTATTTGTATATTGTACGCTTGTGGGAGTTGTTTTTTTGTTTTTTTTTTTATTAATATTATTTATTACCGCGTACATATCATCATCGTGATAAAAATAGAAAGCGGATAGTATGGAAATATCAAAGACCAGCGAATTAAAAAAAAAAAAAAAAAAATGTTACGAATAAATAATAATACAACGTATTTAACACGAGTATAGTAATTATGCGCGTACAGGTAACGCATTTTAATATTATTATGTACGCACGGTTTATTAAACGAACGTAAGGTTATGATAATGTTCGAATTTCGGTTCTGTCAAAATGCATTTTTAATTATACGAGTACTTGATATTAAAATATCGCGTCGTTACCTGTTTAAATGATGGAATGTTACGTAACGTTATAATTTATCGATACAATGTTTGTCTCTACTCTGCACTCTCTGCGTACACATGTTTACGGTCTAAATACAATAAATACGGTAGGTGTACTTGTGCGACCGGCGAAATTTGATAGTCAGTGTCGCACTTACGTAATTACGGTTTTTTTTTATTATTCCAATCAATTTTTAAACGGCGGCCTTACACGTTTATGTAATAATTATTTAAAACGACCTTCCGGCCGCAGTAATTATCGCAAATAATACAGCAGTCTGTACGTCCGGCGGCAAGTCGCAGTGTTTATAGATTTATCGCTCTACGCCCTCACGGACTTTTCAAGCGAAAAAGAAGAAAAAAATCGGCCAACACAGATTCTATGAAAAAAAAAAAAACCCGCCATAACACGAAACCGAAGGAAGCGCCGAGCGTGTCGCTCGTAAATTACAATAAAACATATTTAGACGTCTTCGGCATTTCGTGTTAAAAACGTGTACCTAAAATTTTATTAACTTACGTGGGAACGAAAAATTACGGATTTCGGCGGATATCGTAATAATTCGCTGCGAAATCTTGACGCTCGGGCGCCGAACGTCATAACAATTTTCGATAATCGCCGAAAACTGGGCAAAACACCAAGACCGCCGGGTTCAACGAACACAATATACAATTCGTTTTGAAAATATGAATACATTATTGTACGCCGTCGTTTCATTTTTGCGCTATTTTTTTTACCGAAAAAATTATCCAGGGGGGGGAGGGGGCAGGGAATTATGGGTCATACTTGTGACGTTTAACAATTTACGGGATCGCGGTTTTTCGTCGGGATGTCTAACGTTTAATGAGCCCTTGAGTAATATTTTAGTTTTCGAATTTGAGTACGATGAAAAGTTATGTGAAAAATTCCGAAGCGAAACCTCAGCAGCGACAAGTAAAACAACAGTGGGAAAAACAAATTTTTAGCGGAGCGGATGTATAAAAATAAAACCAAAATTACCGATTTGAATTTAAAAACTTCTACCCCCTAGAATTTCTACCCGCGTATTTATTGTAATGAAAAAATCGCATCAAAACAATCAGAAAACATAAAAATCGACACTTTATGCACCGTGTGAATGCACCGTACATGCGACGATTTGGGAGACTTTCTCCTGAGGTGTTTCCTGAGCAACGCTATATTATAATGTTGGTTTAATGAAATCGACGAGTTCGTTTTTTTTTCAGAAAATCATCGTTTGGCAATCCGGAATAAAATTTTGTCCGCCTATAAACACTGCGTGTATGTATAAGAACAAAGTACGTCCGATTGACGTATACGGAGATACGGGCAAAACGGATTCGGCCGAATTAACATTTTACGCACAGTCCAAGTCCAAGTAATTTGTTCTATACCGAACGGTTTTAAACAGTGGACTGGTCCGGTTGTTACACACGCGCGGAACCTTTGATTCCGTACGACATTCGAATGGAACATTACAATTTTCTCATATCCGCACGAAAACGCAGTACCTATTATTTATTTATTTATTCCGAAAAACCGAAATCATTCGACTCAGTCTGCTTTTAGACTAAATATCTACACAATTATTTGTTCATCCGTGTCACCGAGATAATTAATAAATAAACGAAAATTCGGTTTGAAATATAAAAACTGATAACCATCGTAGTAATGCACGAAATCAATTTTTTTAATTTTTTTTTTTTTTTTAGACAAAAGGTAGCTTACGTTCTGTGTCAATGAATACAATGTATCTCTTTGGCAAATTTCAATCGTTATATTGTAATGATCTCGCATCATATGAGAACGTCGCCGCTTTCGGTCGCCTCGATATAATCGTGCAATTTCCCCCCTCCCCTGTGTTTTTGCGATGACGTCGACGGACTAGCCAGCTCCGCGTCGGAGACCGTTCGAAACTCGAGCATCGCGGCGAATTAACCGATAACCGTACGGCATTAAATTCTTATTGTATTATACACACGCAATAATATTGTAGCGCACGGTGAAATCGTTATAGAAAACAATAATAATGTCCGATAAAATATTAATAATAGTCTTATCACGCCCTTCCGTTGATTCTTGTTGGCGCCGCGTTCTATCAGTTAGCCAGCCGGGATACCGGGCGAATCCCGATGGCCCGTACCGCAGAAACTAAACGAACACATCTAGTCTATCCAGGCCGGATCGTAGCCGAGAGTGGCTCAAATTCGGTTTTTTGTTTTTTATTTTAGATTCTGAGCGGAACGATCGGTTTTACAATACCAGAAAGCTTAATCCGATCATCAAGTACAGCATCTCTTCGGAAAGGAAACGTTCTCTGGGCGGTACTTTAAATAGGCAATTTTTTTGAAATCCTCATTAACATTCGAGATAATGAGGAAAACCGGGTTCTAAAAAAGATCAAAAATAAGGTTGTCAATGGCAACCGTTTTATATTTATTTTTTGTTACATTCGGTTTTGTTATGACGGCTTGGCTGTTTGTTCCCCGACCCGTGTATTAGGTGCTCCAGCTCAATGCCGGCCGACGGTTTCTCTCGCTCCGCGCGCGGTCCGTGCGTATTTCTGCGGTTATCTTGTAGCGTACTGCAGATATTAGGGCGGGCGATTCGCGACGGCGCGGCGGTCAGGCACACGGTTAGGTATCGACTTTTGATTTTGCCGGGTGAGGAGAGGAGGGAGGCGGGGGAGCGAAACCGTTCGACATCCGCGTTCGTCACGTACGTAATAATATTATCCGTCTCTACATACGGTCGCGAGCGCCGCACAAAAAAAAAAAAAAAAAAAAATAAAAATAGACGGTCGCTACGACGACGGTACACAAGACGCGACGATGACGAATCCCCGACTCGGCGTACGCGGATATTCGTACTCGGTGTTTTAATTGACGGAAAACTCCGGACTCCCCGCCGACGACGGGCGAAACGAACGTCAGAAAAATTCCCACACGGCGACGGACGGCCGCAGACGTGACGTCCGTACGAGAACGAACGACGGCGGCCGGGTGAGGGGGGGGCGGTAGGGGGCTAGCGGCGGGCGCGCGCATTATGCGGCGGCCGGCCGGCAGTGTTGTTTTTTTTTTTTTTTTTTTACGTCGGCGAGCCTATTTATTTTGCCGTCGTCGCATCGCGCGGCCTAATGAAGACGTTTTCCGCGCGCCCGTCGTCGCCGCCGCAGCCGGACGGACGGCTTCCGATCCGAACGCACCGCCGACGACGCCGCCGCCGTACAATGTACGCGTAACGCTGTTTATGCCGCGCGCGTCTTCGGGCCCGTCCGTCCGTCCGGCGCTTCGTTAACGCGGCACGCCACCGCCGCGGACGTTGTTACCGGGTAGCCGCACGCCATCCGTCTCCGTCCGGGTCGACTACCGAAACGATCGGTCCGCCGCCGGCGCGCGCCCGGTTCTCGTCAGCGTCGCCGTGGGAACGGTCGGACATTTACGGGCGCGCGCGCGCGCGCCGCGGACAAAGGTCAAGTCGCATTTTCTCTCGTGCGGCGACGACCGCCAGGCGGATACTGCCGGCGATGGTCGCACGAATCCCACGCGTCCGGCGAGGCGGTGTACCTACGCGCGTCGTGCGACCGTACGATTGTTGTGCATACAGGGTGACACGGTTCCCGGAACGTTCCCGTCGTGTTATCCGCTACGGTTCCGTTAAAAGCCCCGCGCGCGCAAACGGAGTCCGAATACGTTTCGGCGTGGAAACGCGTGGTTTTCGCCGGACCGCCGCCAACGAGATATTCCGCATTCAAGTTCGGGCACGACGGGATAGCGGCGGCCGTCCGGGACAGTGTCCGTCGCACAAACTCCACCGTACCGCTTTACACCCGCTCGAGCCTGAAAGCGGAACGACTCGTCGACGGGTCGTCAAACGTTTCACCGCCGAAACGCGTTTGAGCGTTGGTCACCGTTTGGAAAATCGAACGGCCGCCGAGGTCGTTTCGCGCCCGAAAATAAGGGCGGCGAAAAAACCGACGACGGTGTAACGGCGTTTCAGATCCGCTTGTTGTTGAGATTGTCAAGCGGTTTAATTTTTTTCGAACTTTGCGAAATAACAACGAGCGCCCAACGGCAAAACCGTCACCCTGTACACGTGCAACGCTACAGGTGTTGTACTCGTGTCACGCGAAAAGATTTCGTTTTCATCGGCGCAAAAGTATAACAACACAAGTTCGCACTAGTTCAGCGATACGCGTGTTTTGCCCGTTTAAAAACGTACCCGATACTGCGCGACGTTGTTTTTGGCAGGAGTTTCCGTCGCGCGTGACAAGATTCCGATATTGCGTGCTATCGCCATTGTACTCGGTATCGAATACCCGCGTGCGAACGGCAACCGGCGAGCGTCGTCGCGAAACCGCCGTCGCAATAATTACACGTCGTCGTCGCGACACGCGGTTTTCACAGGGAAATTAAAACATTTACGAAACGCGCACGTACGCGCACAACAATATTGGCTACTGTTGAATTTCGCGTACCGGGCCGTAATATTCTGACCGTTGAACCGGGCCCGGCGTTCGTTCTGCGGCATTATAATATTTGAATCGGGTCCCATCCGGAAAGGCGAGGACGAGGTGTGTTCTCGCGCGAGCGCGACATCATAACCGGTCGTCAAAGTTTTCGCTGAAAATCGAATCGCGTTCTTGTCTGTCGACGCCACCCTAACCTGTTCTAGACACGCCGTAGTCGTACATTAAAATACGAAACTGTAAGGTCCGAAAGACGAAACCAAGGGCGGAAAAGGCTGATCATTGCTGATGCGTGTGCCACTGTTGTAACGGGGACGTTGGAAGACGGGACGAATAGAGTGATTAAATCCATATTTGTACGGTACAACACTGGTAACGTAAGAACGATTCTGAGCGGAGTGTTATTAGTCGTGTTTTCCCCACGGTTATCGTGATAACTGAGAAATCAATAACAACCGTATAAAAAAAATGTCCAAGGTTTTTCCATTAATTAAGAATACTACAAAGAAAATCGAAAAATGACCTCCTCAACGGGCCGACTAGATCAAAAATTATACAAGAAATTCCCTACAAAGTATTGGACCGGAGCAAGATTTCTAGTATAGAAGCTCTTGTGAGACGCGACAAAAAAAAAAAAGAAAAAAATAAATAGTTTATAATAGTTAAACACTTCGGAATGTAATACAATAGGGAAAAAACGGTTTTTACGGGAACAGCCGACGACCGAGTATAAAAATATGCAGATTCGAGTTTTTAATTCCGTATCATTTAAATTGCGTCTCGTAGCGTTATAAACGTGACATAAAAATTATTAAAAACACGTGTATAATTTTTAAAAAACACTTTATATACTCACACTATAACTCAGCCCAACGATCACCTCGCGATGACGTCTCCCGGATAAGGTTATATTAATTGGCCGCAGAGACACTCGACGAGAACGACCCGAGGATTTTCATTCGATCCTTCGGTACTCGGTTCGACGTTCTATTACACGCGGTTATCATTTTGAAGTATCGGTAAGACTTTTACCGCGTGTTGTATGTTATTATATTATGCGTGTTTACCAGTTTTTTTCCTGTACCATTTGTTGTGCTCGGGATACAAGTCGTTATTATTAAGACGTCGTGAATAATATTCCGCGAGATTTTATAACGGATGTACACGACGCGTAAACTGCGTACGCGAAACGGACTTATAAATTAAACGTTTCAAAACGCATTCGTACACGAACAATAATAATAATACTAATATAATACCCGTACGTTTGTACGCGGTCGTAAATGCGCTCCCGGAATGTAAATTATATTGCAATAATACTATCATGACCGAGTTAGTGCACTTGCAGTAGCGGCAGCAGCAGCAGCGGCGGCAGCAGCGGCAGCGGCAGTGTAAAACCGTACAGAGATAATAATGTTATTTAAATAAATTACTCATTCAAATATCGTCGGACACGTTAAATATTCCGTATGCAATTAATTATTATAATATTATACAAGATGGTACCTATATAGGTAAATTATACATATACGTGCCGTATCGATAAGCCCGCACTGATAAGTTATCATTAATTTCTGCACAGTGTGTTCGCTTAACGGACGGACGCACTACTGTATTACCGCCGACGTTATAATATAATTTATATAATTCGCGCGGACTTGTTTGTTTGTTTGTGTTTTTTTTTCTCTTTTTTTTTTTTTTTTTTTTTTTTTTTTTGCGGAGAACAGGTTACGTCGTTACGATGCGTTGGTTTTACGATCGTCCGAATTGATATTTAAATATGATAGGGCACAGTACGTCCTATACCTACATGTACACGGTATACCTGCGTACACTTTGGACTTGAATGTAAATATAGATATTTTAGATGAAAAAAAAAAAAAAAATGAAAAATTCGACGATATAAATTAAATCGCGGAATTAAAACGTAAGCGTAACAGGCCGTAATTTTCGCGTGCATAGAAATTACAATAATAATAATTTATAATTTAACAGTCATAATAATACGCGAGGTTTTTTTTTTTTTTTTTTTTTTATATCATATATATATATATATATATATAATAGTAAAACTCGTACGCATCAGATAAATACAGATTAGGGACGGAGTAAATACATATAATATAAAATAATGGATTGTGCGCATGAAATGAATATTTAAGTAGATACGGGTATAAATGTACCCACGGGTACACCTAGTGCATATGTTGAACTCTTTGCGATTGTTAAACATTTTTATACGCGGACTTGTATATTAAAACTGTAATCTGTATAATATACAATAAGGATAAATTAATATACATTTTTGTTTTTTTTGTTTTTTTTTTTTGTTTTACCACCTGGCTAGTATACACAGTGTGCTCCGCTCGAACGTTACGAGAAAACCGTCCGCGAGCAGCAGAGAGCTCCGCGTAACTCGAGTCGAATTGTCGTCCCCTATTAATTTTCTGTAACGGAGAGATATTCATTGCAAAACAGTAAATAATCGAAAATCGTAATGATAAAACGTTAGTGCCGTGGTACAGCGCGCACTACCGATTATACTGCTTTAGAAAAACAATAACAAAATAAAATAAAATTGATGACGTTTAATCGTAAAAAATTAGTGTGAGAGTGAAGGTAGAAAGTTAAACCCCTCCCCCTCCCTCAAAAAAACATTCGTAATACTAACGGCATGCGTATTCACAATTTCGTCCCCCTGCAGGCTTCACTTCGGGAGTCTTTTGAAGCACACAACGCTAACAATAACATCATCAACCCGCAACAACACGGTTAAATTCATATTGCAACTCGACCCGACTTTTATCGCTCCGATTCGTCTACAAAACAACTGGGTTTGAGCACGTTTGGCCCAGATGACGGAGTCTCTGACAATGTCCAAAGATAGCGTGGACAAATGCACGTGTTACACGCAATACACATAACAGAGAAATAAAACGCAACAGTCCCGATTTTCGGGGAAAATTCGACGAAAAATATATCAGGTCAGAATGTGGTTTCTTTTTTAAAAAAGATCGGAGGTACCACAATGAATATTCCGGGTTAAATTTCAAATATCAACCGCGTGTAGCTCGAAACCCGCATTTCATAAAGAACGTCTATTTTCAATACCGAACAATAATATATTTTCTCCGAGCGAACGGATCTAATAAAACACATATTTCCATCTCAAGAATCGTCGCCCGGATACGGCCGTTGAAAATCGACTGAAAAACTGTTGTTTTTTTTTTTTTCGGGTTTTCAACTCGATTTAAACGCTCGGCGCGATAAAATTCGATATTTGGTTGATGAGGAACAAATCATAAGTAAAGATAATATTATAAAAATGCGCGCGCACACCCTAAAACGTTTTACATTTTCTGAAAAATCGAAAAAATAATCGATATTTTGTTTTTTTTATAAACGCTTAACGGCTGTATATCCGAGCGACTTCCGTAGATCCGACAAAACCTTATCGGCCAAAGTATTACACCCGCGATTTTCCAAACCTCCCTCGCCTATCCGATTCCATCCATCGGGTTTTCGTGTTGGTATACCATATGCATGCCGTTTGCATTGTAAACACACTCTGTATACCATTCGCGATCGTAGTACTCGTAATAATATAAAATGCAATACCACATCACACACGTATATTATGATTAATTGAATACGTAATTACGTCCGTTACGCACCAAAATCGTACAATGTTAAAGCGATCGTTTTAAAATAACATAATTTATCTCACGTGGGATACACTCGCTTTTTTTTTTTTTTCTAGTCCGGCGACGCGAAACGCCAAAAACAAATACATTTATTATTTTTATTTTTTTTTTTTTTTAACGACGTATCCATTGATTATAATAATATGGTTCACGGGTGTTTTGGTATTGCAATATTTGTAAAATTAAAATGCAATATCTATACAGGCGTACGTACCGTGTTGCGAAAAGCATAAAATACGCCGCGCACACCTGTAATGTCTATCGAAAATTACGTGTACGCGTACGTATAATACACGTGCGTTTAATATAAAAATTATTACACATACGCATACCTAACTAAATATATAATATTATTATGTCGGAAAACGCGTGAAAACCGTCGTTTCACGATGTTGCGTGCATGTAATTTTTTTGTTTTGTTTTGTTTTTTTTTTTCTGTGAAAAGCGTTAGTAATCGGCGACGACGATGACCGTACGATAAATCACACGCATCAGTAAATCGCGCGGAAAACGGATTTTATGAAATAAAAATCCGACAAACGGAACTCGATTATGGAATAATAGGAATGGAAGGCGGCACGTTGGAAAACGGGAACTCACGTCGTCGTAGTCGCCGTCGTCGTCGTCGCCGTCGTCGTCGTCGTCGTCGCCTGAAACAGGCGCGTGTGCGCGCGCGCGCGTCATCGTAACACAATAATAATAATATTATAAAGTGAGGCCGTTTCCCGGTTTATTTCCCTCCGGCGGAATGACCGAGTAGAAAATCGTTCGGTACCCAACCTATATGCGCCTATAGTATACCGGAAGAATACAATATTATATTATACGGTATTGCGGGAGAAAAAAAACACATGCAAATCCCGCACGTATCTCGCATTATACGGTCCAATACCACGCATCACCGGCGGGTTAGGTGTGCGTATACGTACGGCTTAGGGTAGGGTAAAATCGTATTTGATTTTTTTTTTTTTTTTTTTTTGTCCATCCAGATCTGCCGGTATAGTTTCTTTTACCGTATAATACGTCCGTACATTGTCGCGAACCCGTTATTTTCTCGGATATAGGTTTGTTGTTTTTTTTTTTGTTTTTTTTTATTTTCGATTGTGACGCAGACAAGCGATTTATATTATGCATAGGCAAGTATACCTTTCTATCGCCAGCGAAAAACTACGAAACTTCTAATCACAGACGCGCGGAGGTTTAAAATGCGTTTTTCAAAGTCTTGGCGCGAAACTCTCCGCGTGCGATTCGAAACGATCAAACGTTTTGAACATCATTCTTATCTACTTTATGTATAGCGACTATATCGAAAATTTAATCGATTTCGCGTTTAAATAACAAACGTTAAAGTGTTCAAATATCACAAATTTTATTAAATCTTTTGAAATCAAGCTTTCGGAACTTTATCATTCGTTTCGTGTCAATTTCGGGTGAATGTTCGCTATTCCGCGTCCGGTTACGTCACGCAATATCTATACATGTACGCATACGCAGTATCCACCGGGGTTACCTAAGTGCGTCCCGAAATTACCCTTTTACAGTGTCCCGAGTGCGTCCCAATAATGAAAAGTAATTTTTGCAACGTGGCCCGAACGCGTCCCGTTTCGGTTACGGTTACTCGTGGTGCACCATAGAGAAGGCGAACTCGATTACACCTCCTAAAATGTTTGTTTGTTTTGTATATTTTGTATTGTATTTGTATTATTTGCGTACCTGTAACCTAACCGCCTCTGGTAACCACCGACCATTGCCGACGTGTGTGCCCGCGAACCGATCACCGCGACGAACGCAAACCGGAAACGTGTCAGGCGAGAAAAACTCGCGCTCCCCTCCCCCTCCCCCCCCAAAAAAAAAAAAAAAAAAAAAATCCGCGGGAACGCGTTTTCCAGTATTTGTCGACGAGCGAGAAGCGTAGGGGAGGCGCACGTGCGCGGAAGACGTGTCGCAGACAGTGACCAAACACAGTCGAGCGCGGGAACGGGCGTACAATAATATTTTAATATAGATAAATATTATTGTATACAGAGTGTCCTGCGCTACCTGCGATGCACTCCGCGACGGTTAGCGCACAAACTATACGAACAACGTGATCGAATTTCGAGGAAACGTACGCGTTTAACTGCACGGTATTTTCGTATCCGGTATATTTGTTCCGTATTAACAATGAAAAACGATATCGGGCAAGTAACGGGTTCGCGGCTCAGCTGTCGTCTATCTCTTTATGATTGTTTCGTGGAAATCCACTCCGTCTTGCGGGACGATATGCTTGGATATCTGCGTAGGCGTTGAACCCGCACATATTATGTCCGTCAACTACAGTGGAGAACTGGCCGCTCGGCGGGTGCTTAAACGTCGGCCAGACAACGTAGTACACAAGCGCGTTTTTCGTGGTTTTCCTCCCTCCGTGAGTTGTGTTGATTTATCGTGTGCAACGTATACAATCGTGTCGGTATATTGTTATGGTGAACCGACGCTTTCTTTCCATTCTCAAGCAACCCCGTTTGCCGATAAGCGATGCAGCCTGACGAATTTTCGTCCAGAGCTGGTTCGCGCCAGGACCCACTGGATTTCGGTTTACAGATTCACCCCGCACAGATCGCCCTGCACGTACGTTTGTAGCGTTGTCGCGACGCGTACAACGATAATATCTAATCATTCAGCGTACGCAGTGGAATTAAAGACGAATCTCG